CCCATTTGTGATCGTACTTAGCAAGTCTATTGTCAGCACTTGTTGTAGGGTCCATTCATGCTACGTGAAAAAAGACTTCACACTTATCCCACAGCGTACCAAAGGTGACAGTAAAACTGCAACCAGGTCACTTGCATGTGACCGTAGTGAAACATAAGTTGTTAAAAGAATTTTTTAAAAAGTGAACGACCGTGAGAGAAACAATATATTCAGAATGGATGAAAACGGCAGTATAAGGTAAGATATGCTAAAACTAGCCTCTCTATGCCGAAAACCGTAGGAACCGAATAGTAAGCGAAAGCGAAAGTACAGTTAACTATTAACTCAGATAAAGCTGAAAAAAGAAAAGCGATTTACCAAACGGTAATCTCAGGACAGATTCTTGAACTCCAAAATAGTACTTCTGTTAAATAAGAACACAGAAGTTTGAGAAATACAAATCACGCAAGGATAATACTTCCCGTTTATGAAATGCGCATTTTTGTTATTATGTTACACATTCTACGGTGTTACTTTAGCGTAAAAAATGAAGAAGCACTCGCGAGAATGCAAGTTAAACTCTTTGTAGTTAGTCCACAAGGGTAAGAAGAGGATATCGGGCGACATATATTAGTTTTAAAAGCATGTTGTACCTCGAGGGCCAACGTAACTCTGAATGTCACAAAAGACTGTGTTTTTATAATCTGCGCTGCTAGAGAATGCCAGTAATTCATGAGTAGAAGAGGGGAACAAAACTTCAGATGCAAATAGTATGGCCAACGCTTTAGAATTTAATTAGAATACTTGCTTCGTAATCAGGCCTAAATTGAATATAAAGACCAGCAACAATAACATTAAAACTATTCTTCGGTTCACAGTTGGTGAAAATTATATCCATTCTTATCATAATCTAAGGTAACGTAACCAGGTCGAAGTATCTCAGTTTATTCTTATCAGGAAAGAGATAATGGGATTTCAGCATTTTGATCCCTGGTCACTTATCCCGTCCCAGTACATATGCTTCTTATTTGATAGAAGGACTAGTTTCTTAAACCTTATTTTCAATGCTGTCTCATACACGGCAGGTATAAGATCCTAAAATATATTTATCTAGGTCAACAAACGTTTTTCGAATTTTGAAAAAAACATACGAAGTCTCCGGATACTACCTTACTATTGTTAGCAGCGGTTCTGAAACGAGCACACACTAACTTCTAAATTCTGACAATCGATCACCTTTGGTGATCAGTACTCATTCATTATATAGTGATAAAAAGACATCGAAATGTCCCGTTTAGACCATTACAATCTTCCTGGAATTCACGTCGAAAGACTACTAGATTTTTCACTCAATCGGAGTATGTCAAGCCATTTCATTTGTTCCATTGTTATGTCTCTAAGTTAGACAATTCTTTAATAATCTTGTCTTTATGTTCATCGCACAACATGAAAAACATGCGGAGTGCAGGTATATTTCAGTCAAATGCACAAAAGTTTCACCAGACAACAGAGGAATATGAGAAACTTAATACCTAACAAAATAGGAAAGTGAAAAACGGCAGGTTTAAACAATAGTGCGAGTATTATAGCTACAAACATTAATATTCTGTTGTAACAAAATATTTTTAGTGACCCGTCATTTCCTGTTCCCACGTCGGGGTTACCATTTTAGTGGCCCGTGACGCGCAGGGAGGATGGCTGGGAAGCCAACTCCATTTCAAGCTAGGCATTACTCAATATTTATGGGCAGACAAAATAAACTACAGACATGTGATGAGTCATGAAGTGTACACACATACACTCATATGAAAACAGTCAAGGCTAATAAGCGAATAATTACCAAGGTCAAAATATGACTCAAATAGAATGAATAGAATGGAATGTCCAGAAACTAGAATAAGATATATTATGGGCTAAAACTTATGACTAACACTACATAGCCCCCTCGTAGAAAATAGCACATTTAAAAAATGTCTGTTTTCGAAAATAACACTGAAGTGATATGAAGTTAACGTTAGCAACAAGTAGCGAAAAAAAATGTACAACACTCGATAAAGTACAGTAGTGTCACATGAGGGGTGAGTGTATTGTATGAAAATGTCATACTTATGTAAAAGAATACATGAATATAGAAAAGGTGCGGACAAAAATGGAAACGTTAGCATGCGAATATAAGCAAATTAATGAGCATACAAAATATTAACATGTACTAATGCTATGACTGTCTGAACAATAAAATAACACGTTCATATGAGCGATTCAAAATATCGTGAAAATAGTGATAAATTGTTTGTGGGTATGACAGGGAAATAAATCGTCAAAATGAGTACAGTAGAATATGACAGTAATTAGTCTGTGATGCTGACAAAATAGCTAAATATGTTAAATATATGTTCTGTTGAGCCGCAGTAGAATAGATAGCATGGACTAGCGATGAGTGAATTTGAATTTAAATGCGTAGTTCCCCATTCGTAGGATGATAATAGGCAAGTCGTGAAATGATAACTGCATTGACGGGCGATATTCGTTGCTGTACTGAAATTGATAATAATAATAAAATGTGAAGTCAGTGAACGTTGTTGTCTGCGTTATGACAGATGCATTGAGTTATCGTGAAATATGTATTAGTAGAATGACCAGAGGAACAGAATAGTGACTGAGTAGACGAAGTACGTAGAGTCGTATTCCTTTTTGGTCATGAAGCCTAGAGTGGTTTGAGGGAGATGTGCTCGATCTCGTTTGTTACAAAACCGTACCAAGGCTTGACAAAAATACCAATACATATGATTAGCGATGGCGACGTATGAGACTGACTTGGATGTAATGAACAAGAGTGTATCTTTGAGAGACTAGCTCTAAACTCTATGTTCTGATATGCACTGCGATGGGAACAGAATAGTAGTTGCAGTACTCGAATAATGTTTTTGGGTAATTAATGATGCGGCATGTGGTTATACATGTGGAAGAATAGATAAGATGAACATAATAGTTACTAATCAGCTAGTTAGATGCATCGACAGATATAATAGGTGATTTCGAAATGAAAAATGTATGTTGTGATAACGTAGAATAATGACCTCGACTAAGTGAATGAATGTAATATTAGGTCAAATGACATGAAAAAAATTGGAACGAACTCACTTAAAGCAGGAAAATTTCATGTTTTGAATAGTAAAAATATTCCAGTGAGTTTTTGAATGTCATAAAGTGGAGTGTTCATAAAATGATAATTTGTTCGGTGAACAATATGACTACGAAAATGTCATAATTTAATGACGGCACGAACATGATTAATAATTCCACATTCGGTCATGATATTGAAAATAATGTAATAATAAGCATATAATGATAATTTGTATCGTAATGGAACAATCCGACAAATGTATCAATGAGGATAATTAACATGAGGACAAAGTAACAATAAGATAATACGACTTGAGCATGTCCATGTCACGTTGCACAGGCTTTGCTGAGTGCGTTGGATTGGAGATTGCGCTTGATTCGCTGAATTTGTTCATCGAACGTATAGAGTGCAGAAGTTCCTCCATCGACGTAGCTTGCTGCGTTGCGTTCGTCGTCGGCGGGCTCACCATTTTTGGGAGGCCTCGTGGTTTTGTCGTCGTTTAAATCGGACGATGTCGTCGAAGGGCTCATCATTTTAGTTCGTCAAAAATATTCATCGACGTAGCTTGCTGCGTTGCGTTCTTCGTCGGCGGGCTCACCAGTGAGGCGGCCCGTTCATCTGACTCCATTCAGATTGTATTATATGAATGTTTGCTATCACCTATTCTCGTATATCATCGTCGACTTAGATCGCGTTATCCAATAACGGAATTAAATAAGTCGAATAACGAGAACTGACTTGACAATACATATATTTCGTACATGAAGCGGATGAAACAGAGCCAAGCAAAATGACGCACAGGGAAGATGGAAGATGGCTGGGAAGCCAACTCCATTTCAAGCTAGGTATTACTCAATATTTATAGGCAGACAAAATAAACTACAGACATGTGATGAGTCATGAAGTGTACACACATACGCTCATATGAAAACAGTCAAGGCTAATAAGCGAATAATTACCAAGGTCAAAATATGACTCAAATAGAATGAATAGAATGGAATGTCCGGAAACTAGAATAAGATATATTATGGGCTAAAACTTATGACTAACACTACATATTCTCAAGACCACAATAAATATAATCCGTTATTTGAAATAAGATATGCCTCTTTGAAAAAATAATGTTCTAAGAAATCCCTCACAGTAATCACAGGTAGCTTACTATCAAATACGTTGTGGAAGCAAACGGATTATATCTTTTTACAGCTAACGTTTGGGTCATTGAAAATCCTTAATGGCATTGTTTACGGTTGCTTCGGAGATTTGTGAGTTCAACAATAAGATCATCAAGGAAACAGATCGGGCTGCGATAGCAGAGGTTATATGGCCACATTAAGAACGAGTGAGTTATGTGTAAAGTTGTAGTAAAGATGCAACAGGTACTCAGAGTTTATCATAGCCTTTACATGTAGCACCTTTATAATCAAAGGATTCCAACACAGTCAGACCAGAAGTCAGAAATGAAGGGGTTCGATGATATATTCGGACATACTGAAAAGCGTTTGGTTCAATCTGGCTAATATTTGCAAGGGATGTATAGCGCGACGTAACCATTCGTGATTTGGTGAGGATGGGTGACCGGGCACCTTCAGCTGTTGTGTGTCAAATAAGACTAATGAGACTTGCAGAACTTATGGAACTTCTTATTTCGGGGATTTTTATACCATTGCAGTTGTAAGTTAAGTCCGATATTCGCTTGATTTTATCTCCTAGTGACGCATAAGGTCTTATATGAATGTCAGTAAAATCCTGCTCCCAGGTACTAGTTAGTAGATATCTTCATTTCTCCAATCTAAGAACCCTTTTGAACAGGTCATATAACTCGAGATTTACGTTTCCAAACTTTACGGATCAAAAAAGCTTATCAAATTCGGATAATCTGAAGGTTTAAGTGAATACTTCACTGGCTGGGTTTTCGACATTTTGCGCTACTATTGGAGGTTTACCCATATTTAGTAGCAATGTCCTCTCTAAACTCAAATACACTTCAAATCAAGTATATACATAATTCGTAAGTTCCGAATATCTTTATGGTTTTATTAACACTTTTATCCTTCTGATCTGTAAAGTGTTGCAATGGTGACGAGCTGTCCGTTGTCAGCTACTCTTCAGGTCATTGACCAACAAGTCCGAGAATTGTGTAGTTTCACCAAAGATCAACCATTCACAATAAAATGGATCGATGAAGAACACGATCCCATCGTTATTTCCTCAGAAATGGAACTAAAAGAGGCATTCCGACTTCACGAGTTGAATAAAGAATGGCAACTAACAGTTCATGGTAAGTTCCTCCTGTGTATTTTTTTAAAAAGTATTTTGACTATTGTTTGGGTTTCACCTCATATTCTCTGGTAAATTCGGTCACTGTCATGTCGTTGATGTATATGCAGTGAGTTGAGAACGCTTTTAGTGGCCAACTAAACGTCAAATAGACATCATCTTAGAATTTACTTGGCAAAAATGTTATTGAAAAGATAAAATAGGCAAATGGTCAGTGACTTGCGTGACGTTTGATAAGATCCTACCCGTTAAAAGCTGCGAAGTCACTGGTTTTCTGATGTACTAGTTCATCAATGAAATCAAGATTCAGACTTGTGTAGTAAGGACAGAGGGCCTACGGCCTATGTTATTCCTTTTCTAGTATGCTTCGGTGAGTGTCCAATCTTCTCTTGAATGAGTCAATTAAAGGTGCGGACACCACTGCTTCGTGCAGAAGGTTCTAAATATTGGTTACTCGGTGTGAAAACCTGTATGTCACGGGTAGTTTGTTCGTTTTTGGCTTTTCTACCCACCTGCTATGTCCTCTGAGATGTCCCGATCTAGTGGGAAGAAAAAGAGAATAATTTAGGTCCAAAATCATTTCTCAGTATTCTGTACATCAAAATTAGTTCTCCCCCTAATCTGCGATAGGACAGAGCGAAGAGGTCCAGCTTTTCAAGCCGCTCATTGTATGGTAAACCCCGGAGTTCTGGAATTGCACGGGTAGCTGCGCTCTGTACTTTTTCTAGGATATCTGAGTCATCTTTTAAACAGGGACTTGCAGCCTGGACGCAGTTCTCAAGCTTAGTTCTCACTAAGGATGTGTATACTGTGGTGAACATGGTAGTATCTAACTTAGTGAATGTCCGTTTTAAAGCCCAGAGGGTTCGAAACACCTTAGTTGCAACCTCCCGGCAATGGGCCGTCGTTTTAATATCATGACTCACTATCACCTCTAGATCCTTATGAGATCGGACCACGGGATCACCGGGTAAGCAATAGTAAGGTTAGACGCAGGGTATTAGGGAATTGTGCATCTTCATCGACTGGGATGGTTGGACCACGTGTTACGTATTTCTGAACTCCGATTACTACGATGCGCAATGCTGACTAGTGTTGGGGATGGCTAGAAGAAAGTTAGGGGTGACCAAACCTAAACATAGCATGAGTCCATGAAGTCACTAACTTCTAGCCTGAACCATGTTGGTAGATGCAGACTACTTAGTTGGGGTCCGCGTGACTATCGTAACCAATGGTTGGGGACTCTTGGTGAAATGGCTCAGAATCAATCACAATGGCGTTGGTGTATACACTCTCTGTCTTCCCTTAAACTGAGATTAAAATCACTTCATATCTTTCTACGAATTAATTCTTTATATATATATATATATATATCGTGTTTATCTTGTGCTTATGAAGTGTGGGAACTCGGACTGATGCATATATGTGCCTGGTCCTACGTTGTAGCTGACTGACTAACTTTCTTATAGTCAATGAAGTTTATGTTTAATCATGAATTCACGATTTTATCAGCTCTTACATAGTAGAATTGACGAAAGATTGTTTGGACGATTTCCTGTCCATATTTATAAATTCATTAAGTACATTTAACGAAGACGTGATTATTTCTGTAAAACGTGTTGCCTGGGTAGGCTCCTTAGATCATTATATTGAACACAATAGTCAAAACTATCACTTATTATTGATTGCTGAACTAAATGGTCATAATTCTGATGTCAAAAGCAAATAAAAACGAATTATAAGTGAAATAACGTGAACACAATACACTTCTGTTTCGGAAAAATACTAATGGATAAAATCAATAATCCTAATAAAGGCATGAAATTCCGATTCACTTGAGATTTCAAATGTAGAAAGGTTTTTCTGTGGTTTTAAACCCGTAAATATCCCATCGATACTTTGTGTATGATGTATTATCGCGGTGTTTGTTCGTAAATCATTTATAAAGTGTACCTGGTCAAATTCTAACTTTGCAGTTAAGCTTCATAAATTTCCCATTTACTTTGTTTTAGTATTTAATGGAGTTCCAAGTGAACCGGGTAAACCCTGTCCTGGCGAAGATAGTAAGTGTTTTCATTGTCAACTGCATATTATAAAAGCATTTACCTTTCATACTGATTGTATTTGAGAAAAATCGTATTCTTTTGAGAATATGAGTGACTTCTCTGAAGGCTCTACTTTTTCACCTACTAAAATACTGTCTTGAATTTAGTTGACAACCATAATTTTCTACTTCAATATTCCCCAATAAGACCCTCCTTCAATAGTCGCACACTGATGCAGATCGGACATTAGATAGGATTGGATACGTCCTTAAAAAGTCTCAACATCAATGTCTTTGATTTATCTGACATCTATGTTCAAGACTATTGTGAAGTACTGCAAATTAGCTCTCCACCTGTTTCTTCAAAAAACTCGTTTCGCGTACGTTTATCCAAGGGCTCCGTGACATCGTGTTTTTGTCATCTCCACCTATGCTCCGACAGACTGCAGCCCGGATGCCATCAAGGATGAGTTCTACCACCAGTTAAATGTTCTACAGAAAGTTCATTCGACAGATGTTGTGGTGCTAGCCGGAGAAAAATACGCAAGTCGTACGTCTAGGCACAGAAGAGGGTCGTTCGTATTGCCGATGGGGACTTGTTGGTTGCAGGTCAGATAACAGTGAGCGTCTACTGCAACTTTGCGAAGACTACAGCTTATTTCTGGCTACCACTATCGGGATAGTCATCGCCGATGTGCCACCTGCCGTTCTCCCTCTGCTTTTCAAGCCTGGACTCAGATTGGTTACATCGCTATCAGCTCGCTGTTGTGGTTGTGTACAAGAATCTCCTTTTAGGGTAATTGTCTGGACTCGGATCATCGGATTGTTTGCGTTTCAGTTGCCAATAAATTCATCGTCCCAAACGGGCCAATGTCTCCAAATCGGTTGCAGCTTGTGTTACAACTAAATATCAAACCGAGCTAGGTTCAAGGGTGTCAACCCACCAGAAGGTTGGCTTTCGTTATGGTCGATGATGTATTGATCATGTCTTCACTCTCCACCAAATGTTAAAACACCGTCATACTTATCACAGGCCAGTAATCATTGTGTTTCTTGACTTCAGGGCCACCTTCGATTCGTTGGACAGGTTTGTTTTTTGGGATTGTCTATTGGAAAAGAGTGTGTCTGAGAAGCTTATTGACATCTTGGAAACCCCTATATACAAACACCTCTCTCCACTGTTTCATTCAAGCGGTTGGGTTAGGCGAGGTTGCCCAATCTCACCATTCTTTTTCAACTTTGCTGTCGATGACGTTCTGGAAACAGCGCAGATGGATGTACGTAATGGTGGTGTGGATCTGTTGTGTGGAGAAAGACTTTTCGACCTCGAGTATGCGGATGATATTGCCTGACTGTAGGATGATACTCAAGCCATGCATTCGGCACATAATCAGTTGGAAATTAGTGTCCATGGGTATGGTATGTTCTGTTAATCTTCTAAGTGCAAATCACCGAGTTGAGGATTTTAGACGACTCTGCGTTTGATCATCGTTGTCCCCGAAGGATTGCTGACATCTAGCGGCAACACCATGTTAGTAATGCAGAGGTTCGGCATCTCGTATTCGAGGACAAAGATGACAATTCAAATGGTGTCACCATCTTCAAACATCGACTTTGGCGGCTTGAACATGCCTTACGAGTTTCGTCTCAGAGAATTGCACTTTGTGGATTATTCGCCGATGCTGGGCTGGGTTGGAAAGGCAGGGAGGTGGCCAGTGTATGGCATGGTGTCGTGGTATGAAAGAAAACTGTACAGGATTAGCTTCTGTTGGTCCTGCACGACTCATTGGTTGGGGTCCTAGGGATGGTGTGACACAGTGGCTAGAAACGTTATCGGATATTGCTCAGAGTGGAAGTTAGTATATTATATATTATATTATTAGAAGCTTTATTCAACATTATATTTTTGGTACAACATAGAATTCTCAGCATAAAGTATTTCAACAAGTTTCCTTTTCTTATACCTTGATCTATTGTGACGATAAATTTTGAATGATGACCGGTTAGATGTTAGGAGTTCGGTAATCCACATTTGATTAATGTTCGTTCGTTTCAATGCATATTGCCAGCCACCATGATGTCGATGATTGTACCTTTTTGTATCACGTATAGCGAAAGGTTGTAAACTTTTCATAAACGCGCCTGAATAGATTGTGTGCACAATGGACATAATGATGAACTAAAACAAGCAACAAAACAGATAACTTGATGAAATATGTAGATCGGAGGAACAGGTAGCCCAGATATTCAAGCAGGCCGCCAGTAGAGATCCTGCTGTAACTTTTCTTTTACTTTCTACATAAAAAGTGGACGTAACTTCTTTAACTGGAAGAATTTTTTCGGGTTGTACACTTGCTAACTGAACTGTTTCTCCCATTATTATTATTTCACTCTCATACAATTATTTCTGTTCGTTGGCGCCCTCTTGTACTAGTGTTTATGTGTTCAAATAGTGAAGTAATAATAATAGTAATACAAACTTACTTTGATATGAACTTGTCCATGTATAATGACTTTAAAATATTATCTTACTTTTGATAAAATGCCTTAGGTTTTCACGTTTCTGATCAACACAATCAATATTTTAGGCCAATTTGATAAGGGTTTTCTTGTTAAGCAAATGTTAGTCTCAAAAGTGCCCCCACATGCCCTGGTACGGCCGAGGGTGGGGAGAGTCAGCTCTCTCTTTCGAAATGCTCTTCCATGGCCACGCATACAACCACTACCAAGGAAGTTCTACTCACTGCCTTCTTGTGGCCAGGGTGTTGTTTACGAAATTGAGAGGACGAAAAGCGAATGTCCGGTGCTTTAACAGGGTTGGTGGACATGGAGAGTTCACTCAGGGGAGCTGGAAAACCCTAATTCCAAACCACTGGTGCACATGGGTTTCAGGATCACGAGGAAAAATGGCGTATGATTCAATTAATTGCCATGGAACGGCATCTCCTGACGTTGCTGCACTGCCTTATGGATCAGACCTCTAGGTCGAAGGCTCCGGGTTTGGCTCCCTAAAAAAATCACCTGCTTCAGTTTGGGTACCCAGGTAGTATAATAGCCCACACACAACTCAAGTGACTTGTGTGGTGCATATGTATTCGGTGCCCCTTTGTTCCAACATTTGTGTTCAAATAAATAAATAAGTCTCACCAGTACTAAAAACTATCCTCAAGTTCGCAAAAATCACCTTATCAATTTGAACTTCTGAATGCTTATTAGTAATTGGCTTAAATACAAATCAAGTCACTTCCATGATATGAGAAGTCAAGTATGAATTGTAAAATTTGTGGGTAAGGAGTAAAATAGTTTTTTTGGAATTAACCTTAGCTATTTCTTTTACTTTGATTGAACTTTAAACGGCATGAATTCATTTTCTTATCAGGTTTTAAATGTCTCTGAAGACAACAAGACGGCTTACCGCGATTTTCTGTTTATAATATCGAACCAGGTTAACACTCAGCTATTTAAGGCACCTGTTTACGATGTTTCTACGCTTTTATTTTATGAAATTCAACGGGTATCGTGGGGGCAATTACCATTTAATGGTAACAAAACACTTGTTCACTAATAATCCATAATGAGGAACATAAAATATTACTTTTTGAATCATATAATTTGTAAAGAATGCTTAGCATTCAGCTGGTAATTTTATACACTTATTTTTCTGGATTTAATTTTTACGCATTTACATAGGTCTCCAGTAGTGTGGTTGTAAAAGCGATCAATATTACTTGACTAGATACATATGCTTTTAAGTAAGAACTATATATAACAGTGCAAATATTACTAGTGATAGAAATGGTTTAAGTACTTGGCTTTCAACATCTAGATCAAGAGGTTGATTCTCATTTTGTTTACCACGGTTTGGATATCCAAGCAATATCATCAACTCCCATACATATGGTTTGGTTAATAGTCGATTACATTGGTATGTATGCATATATGAGTTGTACTTTTATCATTTCTAGTTAGGATCGGATTTACCACCTACAGGTTTTGTAATTTGTTAGTTTGAGGCTATAATTTGTTGACTTCACTTATTCGCTATTCTCTTGTCCTCTTATGTTTTGTTTATCAGTTAATATGTACCGAAGAGGTGCTAAACGATGGAAAAAGAAATTTTATTTATTGCATGGTCATCAGTTTGCTGCCAGACGATTTAATCGGGTAAATTCACTAGTGTTTTTTAGGATTGCTTTTTATCAGTTACCAACATGACAAAGCTCGTAATGGATCTCACTAGCTTGGATTTACTAAATCTTCCTCTATATCTTAATTTTTAATATTCCCTCATATATACTTTTTGAAATAATATTCTCAGTGTATTATCCTTTAACCTTCCACTGATGTAACTATTATTTCAACTCCTTTGGGATTCGTCTTGTTAATTCCATCACACTGTGCTAATATAGTATGGCAGCTTGGCCCAGAATCTATGTTATGATTGGTTATCTTTCTGTGAGAACCGGTGCTTTTAACGTGGTGTGGTCGCCGGCTCCAGTATCCTGTGGGAAAGAATGGCGTATGAACCAATCGTTGGTCACCGGCTACCATGGGACTTCATCTCCTCACGATGTTCCACTGCCTTGTGGGTCAGACCTTTGGGTCGAAGGCTCGGGGTGTGGCCCCGTAAGAAAACCACCTGCTTCGGTCTGGGTACCCGGGCAGTATCACAGCCCACACACACAAATATGATGTGGTGCATATATATTTGGTGCCCTTTTATACCAATATTTATGTGTTGAAATAAAAAATAAAATCTTTCTATGAAGATGTTTCTGTTATAACTAATACCCGAGAAAAATTTTGTGTCCTATTGATTGTGTTGCACCTACTCAAATTTATACACGTGTTTAAAGATTCCCAGGGCATTGTCATTTCAGATAACAAAAATCATTGTCTTTGATTGTAGTGATATCCAACAACTGATAAAATTAGCTATCTTTTGGTCCTGACTTCCCAATGAATCAATCTATTATTCAGAGATTCTTTATTGTCTAAAGGTTTAAGTCAATAAATCGGTCACACGAGTAGTCATCGATCAGCTAGTTCGTATTATTGTATTTCATTAATCTGTTTGTATAGCAGTCATTTATTTAAAAAATTGCAAACTCTGTTTCTCCACAAAATCATCCTTCATAACACCATCCAGTAAGTAACATTGTCTCTTCAAGAGTGCCTTCGAATGATGGCATTTTTATCTTTCTATGTAGTGTATTACTCTTCTCTAGGTTGCTTCTTTTTTATTATTTAGCGTCCCAACAAAGAGTGCTGTTTTAAAAGAGCAATTCACCATGACTATTTACATATTCAATGGGTAATGGAAACATTTTGACCGACCGAAATAAATTACTCCGGTCTAGTCAGCAGATATAACTTGCTTTATGCCATTTTAATTAATATATGTCTTTCGTTGTTTTTCTCATCTTAGAATGCCGTATGTGCTTACTGTAAAGAACGTATATGGGGTTTGGGACAACAAGGGTTTAAATGTATTAATTGTCGTCTTCTACTTCATCGTCGTTGTCAAGGTGGCGTGCGTCATAAATGTGGTGAAGCATTCATAAGGCCGACTTATCAAAATATGCGTTCAATCTCTACATTTTCCACCGGTTCCACTCCTATTGTGTGGGAAAATAATGGAAACAGACCTACAACCATAGCAACAGATCTATCTTCTGGGACAAGTAATACATTCCCATCTCGTCTTCCTGTTACTATTCAACCATGCAAAGATGATTCAAAGCCACCAAAGCCAGAAAAAATCATTGGTTTAGGTGAAAAAGAATCAAATCGTAAGTTCTAAGTTTTGAGAATGATTTTCTTCACAAATTGACATCAGTTTAGAAGTCATGATGGAGCAATAACCATTTAGTAGATAATTCATCCTAATTCACGATCCACTAATGATTACCTACGTCCATACGTAGAATCAAATCCTAGACCAGTCAGTATATCATAAGCAACGAAGAATTTGACATAAATGTGCGCCGATCTAAGTTGCCATACTTCACATTAGAACAACAAGTGAAAAAATTAACGAAATAGACATTAGTTAAATTAATAGCAAAATACTAAGTGATAAAGAATACAATATTAAAATATATGAAATAATATTACAACTCATAATTTAAAGGAAAATAAAGAATGGAAAAGTTTGCTGTATTCCGTCCGATTTTGTATCGCACCATCTGGTCTCCAACCATAGATATTAGTTTATCTTGTGAATTACAACTAGAAACTAATTATCAGAGCAGTCGCTCACACTAGTACCACCATCTTGAGAAAACCTATATCGCAGTCGGCTGCTCTTTCTCGCTCTTCAATCTAACTATAACCACCGTAAATTCATTGGTAGTTGAAGGCCCGGCAGATACGTCCTGTAGAAGTTGTTGATGAGTAGTGAGTAACTCAAACTTCAGGGTAGTTGCGTTGCTCTTTAATGACTGTCACGAAATTTGGAACCGAATAATTGACCCTTATGTATATAGTCTTAGATGTTACTTCAGATATGCTCCACCTTATTCTTTTCAGAAACATCAGACAAACACTTTACGCCAACATCCAATACAAAAAATAATGTAAGTATTTTCATTAAAAATTCCGTAAATACGTGCTCTCTTGGTTCCATATCTATCACGTTTGTTTATTTGTTATGATAAAATAATATTTACTTTTAAGGAAAAAGTGTATTTCTTTCAAACCTATTAATTATGATAGCGCTAGCTAACTCATATAAGGGTATTATCCCCTAAGAAAAATACGGTAGAATCATATACGATGATGTTCTATGCAATTCTTCACTCAAAATAAATAATAAAGGTAGTCATATTGTCAAATATTTCTTCACTCTAAACAAGCTCTGCTGTTGTAATTAGCCTTCCATTCACGACATATACTATGTTCGTTGATGGATGGTATTACATAGGGTGTGTGACGAAGTCTCAGCACGGATAAAGAAGGATCAGCTAGCTTTTGCCAACTTGCGTCATTTATGGCGTAGGCGAGATATCCGTCTATCAACCAAAGATTGTGTTTACTGTGTAGCAGTTCGTTCCGTCCTACTTTATGGCAGTGAAACATGGCTGGTAAGAGTAGAGGATATTCGTAGGTTACTAGTATTTGATCATAGGTGTCTTCGAAACATTGCTCGTATGTCCTGGGACCATCGAGTAAGTAACGCAGTTGTTAGGAAACGGGTACTAGGTAAGGACGGCAAATCCATTGATGAAGTAGTGAAACTTCATCAGTTGAGATGGCTGGGACACGTGTTACGTATGCCCAACCACCGAGTGCCTCGACATGCGATGTTCAATGGTATAAGAGCAGATTGGAAGAAAGCTAGGGGCGGCCAGATCAAAACATGGCACAAGTCCATGAAGTCACTGACAAGTGAGATGATAGCAACCAATGATTAGAGCAAACATTTTTGTAGGTACATGGAACGTCCGAACGATGTGGGAGACCGGGAAGACCAGTCAAATAGCAACGGAAATGAGGTGATACAATTTGGCAGTACTGAGAATCAGCGAAACCCACTGGACCCAAGCTGGACAGAAAAGGCTAGCTACGGGAGAGATGGTGCTATACTCCGGTCACGAATATGAAGATATTATGGGACGACATGGACTGGGACAGAGAAACGAAAATGGAGAAAGATTTGCAAATCTATGTGCATTCAACAAATTGGTCATAGGGGGCACAATATTTCCACACAAGCGTATACACAAGGCTACATGGATCTCACTGGACCACACTACAGAGAACCAGATAGATCATATTTGCATCAACAAACAATTCCGAAGGACAATGGAAGATGTGAGAACCAGGAGAGGAGCTGATATAGCTTCAGATCACCACCTAGTTGTAGCCAATTCAAAACTGAAGCTAATAAAGAACTGGACAACTGAACAAACAGCAATACAAAGGTTCAATACAGCCTTCCTTCGAGATACTGATAAACTCAATGAATTCAAGATAGCTCTCAACAACAGGTTCCAAGCCTTACAAGATCTACTGAAAGAAGAAGTAACTAGTATGGAGGACAACTGGAAAGGCATCAAGGAAGCATTAACTTCAACGTGTCAAGAGGTTCTGGATCTAAAGAAATACCATCATAAGGAATGGATCTCTACAGAAATACTGGACAAGATCAAAGAAAGGAAGAACAAGAAGGCAGCAATTAACAACAGACGAACACGATCAGAGAAAGTCCAAGCACAAGCTGAATACACAGAAGCAAACAAGCAAGTGAAGAGGAGCATTAGAACCGACAAGCAGAAATATGTGGAAGAATTAGCAACGACGGCGGAAAAAGCTGCAAGAGAAAGAAATATGAAACAGCTTTACGATACAACAAAGAAACTATCAGGAAAATACAGTAAACCAGAGAGACCGGTCAAAGACAAAGAAGGCAAGCTAATCACTGAAATTCAACAACAGCGGAACAGATGGGTAGAATACTTCGAGGAAATCCTGAATAGGCCGGCTCCAATGAATCCACCGGACATCGAAGCAGCGCACACAGTTCTTCCCATAGACGTCAATCTACCAACGACGGAAGAAATCAGAATGGCCGTCAGACAAACCGAGAACGGGAAAGCAGCAGGACCCAACAACACACCAGCTGAACCACTGAAGTCAGACATCGGAGTAACTACAAACTTGCTTTACCTTCTATTCAAAAAGATTTGACAGGAGGAACAAGTGCCAATGGACTAGAAAGAAGGGCACCTCGTCAAGATTCCAAAGAAAGGAGATCTGAGCAAATGTGAAGACTACAGCATTATGTTTTGAAGCAATAAAATGTGTTGTTATGCTCAGTTTACTGGTCATTGTTTTCCTGTAGTAAAAACATCAATCGTTTTGTTGTCTTTATATGTAGTGATATGGTAAAAATAGATTATTCCGTGTTTCACTGCCATAAAGTAGGACGGAACGAACTGCTGCACAGTAAACACAATCTTTGGTTGATAGACGGATATCTCGCCTACGCCATAAATGACGCAAGTTGGCAAAAGCTAGCTGATCCTTCTTTATCCGTGCTGAGACTTCGTCACACACCCTATGTAATACCATACATCAATACCAGGGAAGGTCTTCAACAGAGTGTTGCTGAACCGGATGAAAGATGCAGTAGACACCCAACTTCGAGATCAACAAGCTGGATTCCGTAAGGATCGATCGTGCACAGACCAAATTGCGACACTACGGATCACTGTCGAACAATCAGTTGAGTGGAACTCGTCACTATACATCAACTTCATTGATTATGAAAAGGCATTTGACATTGTGGATAGGAGGACGTTATAGAAACTTTTTCGACATTACGGAGTTCCTGAGAAGATTGTCAACATTATCCGGAACTTATACGACAGACTACAATGCAAAGTGGTGCATGGAGGACAGCTGACAGATGCATTCCAAGTAAGGACCGGAGTCAGACAAGGCTGTTTATTCTCTCCCTTGCTCTTTATTCTGGTGGTCGACTGGATTATGAGGACCTCGACATCTGAAGGAAAACACGGAATACAATGGACAGCTCATAACCAATTAGACGATTTGGAAGTCGCAGATGACCTATCCCTCTTATCGCATACACACGAACAAATGCAGACAAAGACAGCCAATGTAGCAGCAGTCTCTGCATCAGTAGGCCTCAGCATACACAAAGGGAAAACCAAGGTCCTGAAATTCAAAGCAGAGAACAGCAATCCAATCACTCTTGATGGCGAAACTCTGGAAGATGTAGAATCCTTCACATATCTGGGAAGCATCATCGATGAACCAGGAGGCTCAGATGCAGACGTAACGGCAGGGATTGGCAAAGCAAGGGTCGCATTTCTACAATTGAAGAACATATGGAACTCAAAACAACTTTCAACCAATATCAAAGTGAGAATCTTCAATACGAACGTCAAGGCAGTTATACTGTACGGAGCTGAAACTAGGAGAACTACAACAACCACCATCAAGAAGGTACAAGTATTTATAAATAGCTGTCTTCGCAAGGTACTCAACGTCCATTGGGCGGATACCATCAGCAACAGCCTTTTGTGGGAGAGAACAAATAAGCTTCCAGCTGAAGAAGAAATTAGGAAAAGACGATGGAAATTGATAGGACATACACTACGCAAATCGTCAAAGTGCATCACGAGACAAGCCTTAACTTGGAATCCTGAAGGAAGGCGGAAAAGAGGAAGGCCTAAGAACACATTATGTCGGATAATAGAAGCAGATATGAAAAGGATGAATAACAACTGGAAGGAGCTGGAAAGGATTGCCCAGGACAGGGTTGTTGGAGAATGATGGTGAGCGGCCTATTCTCGTTCACGAGGAGTAACAGGCGTAGGTAAGTAAGCAAGTAATGATTAGAGACCCTGATTGTCATGGCTCAGGTGCATCCACTCATTGTGTTCTCCCAAATTCTAATCTCCTCCTTGTCTATTTTTTTCTCATCCCAAATTTATTTCACTGGATTATACTCCTTAAATAACATCTCCAAACCCTATTCTTTCCGATTATTGCTTATACTCTTACTACCTCTACCACTCCGGGATTTGAATCGACAACTGCATCTCTGTGCTAATCTGGTATGGCAACTGGAACTGATGTACGTACGTACGAAGTTCTACGTTGCTACTGACTGACATTTGAAAGGTAATTCGTAAAATAAGGCACATCTACTCAAAATATTCCATGAATTAATGTTTCTAATCTCCGTTTGTTTTACTTATGCTAATTTTTTTTTAGCTCAAATCAGGTTCAGACAACCTAATAATTGAAACAAGTAGTGTACCAGTTCCCGTTTCTATCATCACTGATAAAGTTGATGATAAGTCCATTCCAATCATAGAACAGCGCATTATAGATATTCCTGATATTCCAATCACTTCTGGACGGGTTGGTTTACATGATTTCAATTTACTCAAAGTGATTGGTCGTGGTAGTTATGCTAAAGTATTTCAAGTAGAGCATAAACCAACTAATCGTATATATGCAATGAAAGTGATTAAAAAAGAAACTATTCTGGATGAAGAGGTATGTCTAGTTTGTGCTATCGGTAATTTAACAAATGCTTTTGGACTAACGGTTTTCCATACCTTTTGCAAATATGTAGAACGAAAGTCACTAAATATACACTTAGTTTTAGCAAATGTTTATCCATCATTCTCTGGGAGTGGTTGTATGCACATATGAGAGCACTTCGATAGGGGGAGTATACTCTCCCCATTCTCGAGTGTACCAAGGCATTTCGGGACTGTCAGATGTTCACTGAATATATGTTTCGCAATGCTTCGGAATTTACTCAGAGTTTCGACTTTCCTGCATCGAACATGTGACTATCTAGGTTCATTAACTATAATATATGTAAAAATTAGACATAAATCGATCTTCAACACTTTACATTTTTCTGGTTCCATTATTACCTATGAGTTTTTCTGTGACTCATTTGTTTACTGACAATGTGCATATAAACAAAGCACTAAACATAACATCAAGTTCCAAAACCCAACCGCTTCTATAGTTTTCGTTTTTCTCTAGGTCTGAGTAATTTTAATAAACGGATGTCTCATGAATTCAGTCGCATCACGTAGGCCAAAATACTCCTTATCACTTCTAAAAACATATTAGTACCCGATAATGTTTTGTTTATTGCGACATAACTATACCAAATGAGTCTACCATTTCGTGCGTCTAAATTACTTTAACAAGGGCATATAAGTGAAAGCTGAGCACACAAATGTTAGTATGATTGTTGAATATTACTAGTTTTACGTTACAATTGTACTGCAAGTCTCCAGTGCCCTAAGCCACTAACTGTTAATCTTAATCACATTAAGAATCATAGACTTGATTAAGGTCTTCAGGATGATAAAAGTTGACTTTTATATAACCCCTTAAGCGAAATGACTCAAAGACCATCACAATAGTCCTAACCCATCTTATTTTTGTCTTATAAATCATGGACATTTGGTTACTATTCATTTAGTTCCCATTATTTATTTTAAAATGTCCTTCTAGTTAATCTTCTGTTTGTTTACTGTTAGTAGTCATTGTAAGGTAATGCAACGCTTCTGTATTCAAGGTTCTGTTTGATGTTGTTAGTCTGAGGTTCATTGTGAAGTCGATTATCACTGTTAAAGCTTTGTGCATACAAACAAACGACAGTTTCAGGAGATATTAAATAACAGTACTCTTAGGTATTGTATCACTGGTACTACCAGTTGGTAATCGAATGCAGAAGTTTTGGTTGATAGAAACTAATAAATGCAAAAATGAATGGGAATTACGGTTTATTCTAATAAAGGTGAGGATTAAAAGGATGCTAATAAAAAATAACTATCAGTTCTTTTAAGAATGACTTATATTATGAACTCAGAGAGAATTGAGTACAAATGAAAGTGATAGGAAACGTTAAGGTATTAAACTAAATACTGATGAAAACACGACTACACACAAAACAAATTAGTATATATTTACTTTACAATAGATCATTTGAGCGAAGTTTAAAATAGTTTAAAATGTATTGAAGACAATAAACTACATTTCAAGTTATATATTTTATGCCTCATTGGAATGGAATTAGAGTACGTAAAAATATAACGACACCACTGATTTTTTGATAATGAATAGCTACACCTCCAGAAAAAGCAAGTAATTAACGACAAGATTTAGAGATTTGTAGAATATCGTAAGGTGGAATGTAGGTCACAGTGTCGTACGGAAAATGGAGTTATTACTAAGCAATAAACGGGGGACAATTGTGTTCTAAGTAAAGCCAAAGGGAATGAAAAAGTAGTAATTAGCATAATAAAAGACTGAACATCATCAACAGAAACGATACAAAATAATAACTACTGATTTGATGAATGGATTGTCGATTCAACTCCCAGCTGTGATTTAGAAGAATCAGATAATTCATCGAGTACGATGTGACTATAAGATGACGCCTTTACTAAGTTGGAATTCATTGGATATATAAACTTTACCGTTATAATACATGGCCATTATGCAAAACAAAAACTTCTACATGATAGTGAACCAGTTGAAAAACGCGTTCCGGTGTTTTCTATTACTCAGAGTATAAAATTGTTAGATGATTATCATCATTGATATGGCAATCAAACACTAAAAATATCGTCGCTTGTGTTTACTTAGATCTGCATAGTTCATACTATGGAATTCAGTCCGATTAATTATTTGGTTTGCATTCTAATGAACGGCAAAAGTACAAATTCGTATCACATATCTTTAATGAATTGAACAAAACACTAATATAAACTAATCCATTTCAAACATTCGATTTTATCAGCATTTCAACGAGTATTTTCAGATTCAGTACAGGTTTGCTTATTTCGTCTGAGCCAATATATATGGCGGAGACTACAGCAATCATCATCTTCACTAGCCCCATACGACCTATTAAGAGTTTGCTCTATAGTTCCATCGGTTGGCTAAATTAGTTTTTTATCGGTCATAGATGTAACCTCATTTGACATTTTTTAGTCATCATTCTACGTAGAAATTAATGTATTAACTGATTATTTTGGAAACACGTGGGTCAGGTGACCTACAACTTGCGGAAGCCTTAGTGACCTAATTTTCCAAATTGTAGCATTGAATGTCCACAGTTCCATTATGAAAGATCTTCCTAAAACGAACAGTGTGACAGAAGAGTAACATGCTCATTCAAACATACAAGATAGTCAATGATGTTCTAAAAAAGGAGTGGAGTCTAGGTGGATTGGAGATCGGAAAACTCAGTCCACTGGTTCAACAAAAGCATGCGAAAATGTGAAAGGAGGTAACAACATGGATTAAATTGTCTGTGGAGGACTATGGGAACAAACTGTTACTAACGACTTTACGTGGTATGGTATAAAATTTGAACTCATTCATTTAAACATATTAAACTGTGTTATAAAGATTTATAAATGTAAATAACACTTAGATGTTGATTATATTATTCGATCTTTCTGTTGATAATCTTTCATTACACTATTAAATCTCCATTTTTGATGCTCGCACCGATACGAATCCCCCTTATTGAAGGATACTGGAGGGTGAGTTCTATGAGTCCAAATAAATTATAGTGAAAAAAACTTCCTGTGAAGTAAAAAACCCCAGAGAACTATGATTTTTCTAAGCAAGAGTACATTGCTTCTGAAGTAGCCTCTGTTCTACAGATGAATCAGTTTAAAATCAGACAGCAAAACTCAGTCCCAGGTAACTAAGTTTTTCCTTGAATATTTTGGAAAAAAAACTACCGTCTTAGGGAACTGATAAAATATTAATTCACATTAACTAGACAGTGTATGTAAAACTCTTTCTTCTCATACTTCCAATACTAGGATATTGATTGGGTTCAAACAGAAAAACATGTATTTGAATGCGCTACTAACCATCCATTTTTAGTTGGTTTACACTCCTGTTTCCAAACTAGAAGTCGGTAAGTTTCTAAAATTAATATAATCCATAAAATTCGTATTTTGTAACCTCAGAGATTAACACTATTGTCTAAATGCTGTACGGTTTTATGGAGAAAACTATCCTAAAGGACATTATTTCTAAGGGTCTATATTTTCAGATTGCTAGTATTTAAGATTACATTTTTCTCTTTTTTTGTTGCGATATGGACCCCTATAGTGGATATGATGACATGAATTTTCCATGTAATTGACTTAGTCCCATCGAAATGATTTTCTGAGTGCGACTACTAAGAAGCATTTTCCTGATTATCATTGCTAATTTATTGCTTAATGATCAAATCCATTTATTCTTAATTGCATATTTGAACCTCGTATCACCCAATTCAGCTTTTAAAAACGTAAATAGTATCTCTGGTTCGTTTGTTACTATATTGTTGCTCAAGACGGAGTATAAGAACCATGTACTTGGTTACTGAGTTGTATTACTGTTTGATGGTTTAACCGAGTAACACCTGTCAATGAATAATTATTTGTATCTATAAACGTGTCTATCACTCAGGATCTAAGAATATCGTTCAGTTCACTCATATAAGTTGGAAAACACATTCCTATTAGTTTTCGAATTTGACTAAATCCGGAGCGATATATCATAGGATCACTGATTTTGTAATAAAACGTTATTTAATTTATTTTTAATGGTTAATTTGATGTGGATAAATCAAATATTGATTTGCACCTTCTCAATATTGATCAATCTTTTTACGAATTTATTCTGTTTTTGATTTTATTTTATTCCATGATATATTTGTAGACAACAGTGAAGTCAGCTGATAATGACGGCATTTTTTATACATGCCAATTACTCGAATAATGAGTTATGTGCTTATTTCATTTTAAGTCTTTATAGGTCGAGAAGTTATTTAACATCCTAAATAATATTAATTTATAATCTTAATAAAGTGCCTTTACACTAGTCGCATAAGTCAGTCCATATTTTAAAATCATATCAAGTGAAAGGTTTTATTAAATTATTGATACGATACACATTATATTCGTGTATTTCAGTCGCGTGTGTTGTATATGGTAATAATTCAACATTTATTTGCAATAAGTGGTTTTGTACTGATTTCATGATGACACGCCTATTTAGTAATAACTTTCTACGAGATAAATTTTTTGAAAGTTCTGGTAGCGAGCATCTAAAGTCAACCATTTCAAATAGGACTGTTAATTACTGACGAGATCGATAAAGTATTGCGATGTCACAAAGTAATAGATAGATAATCGGACAAGTGAACTGATATACATCGACTCCATATAATATAATTTAGACAGTAGTGAAACCAGAACGGTAACTAGTCAGTTCACTGGGTTAAGTCCTAGGGGATTCAGTTTCTATTCAAATAATTCTATATCTGTAACTGTGTTGTGGTTAAGTAATATGAGTTCAAATATCTAGAGTAGAATTATTTCAGATATTTGAAAAGTGATTTTTCTGGTTCAAATCAACCACTGTCAAAAATAACATCTACTCATAAGCAAATAAAACCAAACCTAAAAATCTCCACAGTCTTTGGTAATCATAAATAAATAATGACTCACATTAACTCGACACCCAAATATTGTGAAACTATTCGTTCAAATTTGGACAAAAGTTCTTATTTATCATAAAAAATGTTGTTTGGAATAATGCATGTTGAAGTAAAAATATATATCGTCACAACATTAATTGTTGATATTTATTTAGATTATTATCCATATCTCCTCTTCCTGTATGTGTTAACACTATTGGTTATTTTTACTCTGTGCTTAGTTCATCCAAAAATTTATTTGTTTTATGTATAAATCTATGGAAAACCCCAAAAGCATAAATGATATGCCAAACTAACCTTGTTCAATGAGTGTTGTAGGCTTCTAAACGAAAATCCTGTTAAATAAAAACTTATGCTGACCCTATGTACAATTACGTACAGAATTATGGCTCGTAGTTTTAGACATGACATTTAAATAAAAATCGAACCATCTATCGGTTATTTCAATAGTAAACGTTTTTATAATTTACCCATACTTAATTGCCTTGTTGTTTTCCCTGGTTAGCGTTTTTTGGCAAGGGGTTGTTAATTCCATGCTCAATCCTCTTTACCTAGGCTTTGGAACTGGCATGAACCCTAGGAGGGTTTCAGGTGGAGTTTTGTTATTCTCATAGATAATAGTAATTGTTTTTAGTGTGATTAATTAATCAGTGATCCAGATTTTGTGTTATACTTCATTCTTTCTATTCCTTTTTTTCAAAACTAACTTATAAACAATAGGTTATTCTTTGTCATTGAATTTGTCAATGGTGGAGACCTAATGTTTTATATGCAACGTAATCTTCGTTTAGCAGAAGATTATGCACGATTCTATGCAGCTGAAATTTGCATTGCATTAAATTTTCTCCATGAACGTGGTATTATTTACCGAGATCTCAAGTTAGACAATGTTTTGATGGATAGCGAAGGTCATATTAAACTGACTGATTATGGAATGTGTAAAGTAAGGGAAAATATTAACTTTTCTCGTTTAATGTTTATGTATGATTTTAACTTGACTTTTTGATTAACAATACGTAGCTATACTGACTAATCTTGGTCGTTGTCTATTACAGTATGTTCGAAAGATAATGTTTCGCTGCTTTTTATCACGGTCGATATCATTCAGGTCATTCAATATGAATAAATGTATGTTTAGCGCGTTACGATTAGAAAAACTAAGTGACATTGTATTCCGCGTAACATTTTTGAAGTAATAGTTGCTACCGTCTTAATTTTTTTATGAAACAGTAAAACCTTCTTTAAGCTATTATACATGTAGTTATTTCCTTCATTACTGTATCAGTGTTGATATTCAGTCAGTCATACGCAACGTAGAACCTGGGACGTCTGTACATTGGTTCAAAGATGCCATACCCTAATAACACAATTAGATGAAACTGTCAGAAAGTCTCAAAATGGTGGAGGTAGTAACATTTTTATTAGTAGTCGGAAAGATTCGGCACCGAAGATACGTTCGAAGAAATTAGTAAAATAAATTCACGGAGAATTTAGAAACTTAAGATTTAAGGGAAGACGAATAGGGAAAACACCATAATTACGATCGATTCTGAGCCATATCACCTATTGTCTCCAACCATTGGTTTTGCTAATCATGGGGACGTCAGTTAGGTTGTTTGCACGTATCTAAATGCCTGAGTTCAATTCACAATGAATCCACAGACTAATCCCATTTCTTGACTGGACCACACACCCATGGTTAGTCATTCAAATCAAATTAAAAGCGGAACATATTCCTTATATTATTTATAAAGTTGGAAAATAGGTAATCTAGAAGTTTAGATAAATTGAATGTTTTTATAAAATTTATTTGATATGATCAGTTAGCATCATTAAGTTTGTTACGTATTTCCATGATATAACTAACGTAAATCAAATGAATAGAAATATATTCAATTAATTCTTTAATTAGATTCTCAGCTAGTAAGAATTCTAAAGACATATACTCATGAACATATCACTTCGTGACAATTTATTCACTTTCAAAATCATATTTTGGAAGTTATGACATAGACGACAATCAGTGCGTTACTAACTCAGTTAGAATTATTATTCTCAACTCTAAAAAAGCGCTGTGTCAAAATATGTATTTTATTCTACTACTTAGTTAAAGTATTTGCCTGAAGACTAAGTGATAGTAGCCAGTATTATTAACATTGATTGTACACTGCAAATTCTTCTCGCTTGTTTTAAGCACATAGTACACCATTTAAGATATAAAGCAAGACAATCTAACTTAATAAATAATATATTATTAATCGTATCTAAATTATTATTTATTTAATAGGAAGGAATCATCGGAGATATGACTACAACTACATTTTGTGGTACACCGAATTATATAGCTCCTGAAATACTGAAAGGAGAAAGTTATAGTGAGTTTCTTTTTATATGTGAATAAAATAAAGACAGTGATCGAGACAAATTAGTATGGATTCATTAATTTCACAGATATCTGAGCTTCCTATAACCTAAAATTTTTAGTAATTATTTTAAGAAAAAGATATACATACTTTATACCATAAAAACAGTCCTCGTCAACGAAGATAAAGTTAAAAAGGAATTAATTAATCTTGAAAAGCTATAAGAGATATTTGTATAGTTGCTTATTTACATGTTAGTATTCTTTTTAAAAAAACATGAATTGATTAAAAGTGAATAAAACGGCCGAGAGTGGGGAGAGTCCGCTCTCCCTCTCGAAATACTCTCACACGGCCACGCGTATATAGCCTCTGCCAGGGAAGTCCTACTCTGCCTTCTCGTGGCGGGGGTGTTGTTTACGAAAATGAGAGGACGAAAAGCGAATGCCCAGCGCTGTAACCGGATTCCAAACCAATGGTGCACATGGGCTCCAGTATCCTGCGGGAACAAATGGCGAATGAACCGATTGTTGGTCACCGGCTTCCATGGGACTGCATCTCTTTACGATGCCCCACTGCCTTGTGGATCAGACCTTCAGGTCGAAGACTCGGGGTGTGGCCCCCTAAGAAAACCACCTGCTTCGGTTTGGGCACCCGGGCAGTATCACAGCCCTCACACATATCGAATGAGATTTGTGTGGCGCATATGTATTTGGTGCCTCTTTGTACCATTATCTATGTGTTGAAATAAATAAGTTAAGATAAAATACAAGAATGAAGAAAAATTTGTTCCTCTCTATTTATTACAACTTTTTCTTTTCATTGATAAAAGCTTTCCTGTTATAAAATAATATCAAGTATGTACATTGTTTTTTTGAAATTATTGATACCATTATTCTTAAATGGTAAACATTTGAAGAGACTGTATAAAATAAATGAATATACACTATTCTACTATTATAGAATTTTATTCATTTAATATCTTTTTTTATCCAGATAATATATTCTTTCATCAATCAGTCTGTAAATAATTTCAAGTTACTTATGAGTTAAATCATTTGGATTTTTTGTTGCAGACATTAAATTGTAAGGTATTTGGATTACTACCATTATAAAATGTTGAACTTCAATTTGTATAATTGATTAGTAACATTATCTCTTTCATACTAAATACGTACTTTAATTGATTAAGATAACCCTGATATTTTCCCAAACTAACTTCGATTTTTTTCGTTATTGATATTTTTCTTCTTTTTTTTAATATACGGGTATTAAATTGACTCGATTTTGCTAGTATTATAGACTTCTAAATGAATCAGTATTCAACTGAGATTTGAGTAAGCCTTTCAATTATGGTTCACATAAATTAAATAACGAACATGTTTTATGAATGAACTTGCAGATTGTTATGATTTTTAGTTTATCATTAAAATGCTTTTTAAATAGCAATTAATCTATACTTATAAATCTATTCAAAACTAATTTCTATTGTATTAATTAACATTCAACAGTCTAATGTGTGTTTAAAAAAAGTCGAAATGTTAAGAAATGTGAGGTTAGATAAATATATTTTGCAGAAAGTCGAATAGTTTTACAGAGCTATGAAAATAACTATAACAAAATAACTCATTTTGTGTACTACTTACTTACTTACTTGAGCCTGTTACACCTCTCGGGGTACTGGGTGCCAACCAATGATCTCCAAACAACTCTATCCTGAGCACTCCTTTCCAGTTTTTACCAAGTACTGTTCGTCCTTTTGGTACCTGCATCCCATCCCCGGTGCTGTGTTCTTTGGTTCACATCTTTTACTTATGCTTTAAAGATTCCTAGTTGGGGTTTGCCGTATGATCCAGTTTTGTGGGTTTTTTTAAACTGTTTTATCTAATCTTAGTGTCTTTTCCTAATCTCCTCAAATGACAGAATAGATTGTTACTGATGACCTCTGGCCAATGGATATGTAGTATCTTGCATACATAGCTGTTAATAAATACCTGTACTTTTTTGGCGACAGTGCTGGTAGCTCTCTGAGTTTAATCTATATACAATAGAAGAGTTTCTGACTTTTATCTTGTTTGGGAGTCTTTTTGGGTTTCAGATATTTTTCAGTTGTGGGGATGTCACCCTTACTTTGCCAATGTGTGCCTTTATATCTGCATCAGATCCTCCTTTTTTATCAATAGTGCTCCGCAGGTTTGTAAAGGTTCCCACCTATTCCAGAGCTTCGTCATTAGCAGTGATTCGTTTGCTACTCCTCCCTGTGTTGTATTTCAAGGGGTTTCCTCCTTTTTAGTGTTAAGGACCACTACTGTTATAGCCACTGTTACACTTGCTGTATTCATCTACATTTGTTACTGTATACACAAAATAGATAGGCTTAGTTATCTGCGAAGTACAAATCATCCGGCTGTATCCAATGTGTCTACCATAGTCCATGCATTTTCTGAGTTATGACGTTCGTCATAATCCAGTAGATAACTGTCAAAATGAGGAAGGCTAGAGTGGGCAGTTTTGCTTTACATCGGTGTTCACTTTTAATGTATCTATGAGCTGCTCTTATTGATTGCAGAACTTTGCAATTCAGTCTTTCGTAGGAGTTCCGTATAATAGTGACGGTCCTCCCAGATACCCCCTAGTTTAAAGATCCCATAAGGTCCCCCCATCCACTTTATCAATTACTTATAACCAAAGAAGTCGATATTTAGTGATAAGTTCCTTTTTCGATTGATTGTTCAATAGTGATGTACAGTTTCGCGATTCGGTTGATTCATAATCGACGCTTACGAAATCCAATTTGTTGGTTTACAAGTTGATCGTCTATTAGCTCTTTCATCTCGTTCACTAAGACTTTTGACAACGGTGTAATGCCTCTTTTGTCCTCACTAAGATCTTTCTCTGGTTCTTGATAAAGTATCCCTCTTTCTGGTCTCTTGCTATTCATTCTTTTCGAATATTTCTGAAAAGAAAAGAAAGCACCTTTCCAGTTGCCTCTAATCCAGTGCTTGATGTAATAGATTCATAAACAGTCAAATCTGGATATATGCAGAAATGTGAGGTAAAAGTTAAGATGAAGTAATTTCAACGTTTCTCCTGGCAGTCTGGTTCAATTGATATGCATGTCTTTTTGAAATGCACATAATTACTACAATGATGACTAATAGTAACATAAATTAACATAATCGATAAAATAGGATCAACCCCAAGGTTAAGTCATAATGGGATTGGCTACTATTTATCCCTCAATTATTATCAGTGTTATTAAGTTGCCAATTAAGATTTTCAGTGATAAAAATTATTTCATATTTTATCGATTGTTTTTGCACTATATCCATTCTCCCCTTAATGGTATTGCGTAATCAACTTTTTGAACATTATATATGAACATCTGCTTTGTATTAAATTCCTCTTTTCACTATTTCCTTTTTCTGTAAATACTATCTAAGTTGATTTCAGCTTCTTGACAGTTATTTGTCGAGAAAATCATACTACTATGGACTCGTCCATCACTTGTCCGCTGCTATGTGATACTAACGTTTACGAGTATTGATTTACTATTGGTTCTGGCATCCCATGATTTAATGTTAGGCTATTGTTCTACATTTCCTTTTTTACACACTTTTTGATTAGTATCAGTATATAGTAAGAATTTCTAGTTAGTGTGGTCACGTTGATGGTAATTTATCTGTCAATTTATTGCGTACTCTTTGGCTTGTACATTATATATACCAAGTTAATAATAAAAATATTTAGGGGATGTCTGAAATGTATTAACTAGATAGCAGAAGTATTATTCAAAATATATGATTTCAAAATGGTTTGTGAATAATGTAATCCATTTATCTCATAGTTTATCATTACTACTATAATTTGAAATAGTAGTAAAATATTTTTTTTTGATATTTGTTAAATTAGGTTTCAGTGTTGACTGGTGGGCCTTAGGCGTACTTATGTTTGAGATGTTAGCTGGTCGATCTCCTTGGGAAGGTGTTGGACAGTCAGCTAATCCAGATCAAAATACTGAGGATTATTTATTTCAAAGTTAGTCCTATTTTGTTTTATTAACCATAGTGGGCGTTTTATTTGGATTCTGGCATCTTTGTGATTTGTATTTTAATTTCCTCTGTATAGCCGTATCGTGAATGCAATTATGTGAATCAGTTAATTAGCCGATGAATGGCGCCGAGTATTACACCAGAATTTCGTCTTCAAAATCTAAAATAGTAGTTGCACACATCGTCCGACGTTTTGTAGCTGTCCTGGCTCATAATCACCAACAACTAGGAGCTTGTAAGCAGAGATGGGTGATGGCTAGCAGTGGGATCCAGATTGCGCGTTTTGGGACTGGTCACCTGAATACACCTATAACTTAAGGCAATCCACACAGGATGCGCATGTACCAATAAGAGACTGATCGATTGCCGTCCTCAACATCAATGGGACGATTCAAACGACCAATATAAATGTGAACTAGAGGCTTAGTTTTAGTAACACAACTTTTGTGTTCAGTCGCATAAATACAGGTGATTTTTATGGATGCTTACAATTCTGAATGAATCACTTCAAAAAGCAGTTCAGTTGACTCAGTTGAACGTTTTTTACCGAATGTTATTGTTCTCTATGGTTGGTGAATACTGACTCACGTACCCAGCTTAAGAAGGGCTTGTAGGGACGTTTAAGTACTAGGTCACTGCAGGATAGCTAGCTGACTAAACCCCAAGTTCTTTGTTATTATTCACCAACCTCTTTGATTTTTTCATGAGGTATGATGAGTTTAAAGTTTTTCAGTATTAATAATAATGGTTAAATTAGTATTGTTCTCTTACCTCTGATTTTCGTAATACTTTATAAACGGTTTAAAAATAATGATAAACAGTAATGAGGATGGGTTCGTGTTTGTTCAGTTTCTATGTGGTTTACCTTGAATGTAAGTCTGCCCTCGACTCAGTTGATAAGGCTCTGCATTCTCACTGTTTCAAAATTGTTTTGGCTACGTAGTTTATCAACGCCTTCAGAGATTTGTTCACAATGGAATATAGGTATACTTTGCCGTGAACTAGCAACGAGGATAGTCATGGTCGCTTAATCTTCCCATATCTTTTTGATTACCCTATCGGTTGTGTTTTAAAGCATCTCCATTATAGAAGAAAATAATAGCAGCGTAAATCTGCTAATAGGATAAATGCTCCACAACTTACAGTTTGTGGATTATACCTCCTCTCTGTCCTACACCATACAGTCCACGCAAATTACTTTTGATCACTTATTTCCCAGTGTATGAAAATATACCATGTGTTTTGTACCATCAATGTATAAGAGAATTTTAAGAAATTAGTTGTAATCCGTTTTTATCCACAATTAGTGGCGAATTATTAAAGACAACCAAAGATTTTTTGTATCTGTGTAGTTTCGTAATTGCTAGTGGTAAAATAAATGACATCCTGTATGCCAATCCGGGCTTTTTAGCACCTTCATGACGTTAACCACCTATCAATAAAATGTCCAATGGGCGGTTCGGTGGTATAAGAATGTTTAGTCTCTGCTTATAAAACCTGACATTTCTGAACTCAGGATTTTTAGTCACCGTTATGTTGAGATAACTATCCCCTGCCTGTCAGTATTTTTTTACACGAAGCTATGATTTAATATTAACTGTCATCATTGCCAGTATGTGTTTTTTCCGGCGGGCGAAATATGTCATGTCATTTAAATAACCACACAACTTTCAAAGAATTCATGTATTTTTCTAAAATGAAATAACGATGCGCTTCAAGACTTACTAGTTTATTAGACTTGTTTACTTCCTTACTTACACTTGTTACCCGTCATGGAGGAGCATAGGCCGCTCACCGTCCTACTCTGTCCTGGGCAATTCTTTCCAGTCGCTATTCATCCCATTTATGTCTGCTTCCGATTCCTGGCTCAGTATTTTCCTTGGTCTTCCGTTTCCCTCCACGAACCCAAGTTAGCCCTTGCTTCGTAAAGCAGTTTAATCATTCCCACAATGCATGTCCTATAAACTTTTAACATCTTTTCCTAATTTCTCCCTCAGTGGGAATCTGGTTTATCCTCTCCTACAGTTGGTTTTTGCTGATGATATCCAGTCAACAAACATTCAATATCTTGCGTAGACAGTTGTTTATTAATACTTGTACTCTTTTAATGATAGTTGTGGTAGTTCTCCAAGTTTCAGCTCTATACAGTAGAACTGTCTTGAAGTTCGTATTGAGGATTGTGACTTTGATGTCAGTTGACAGTTGTTTTGAGTTCCATATATTGTTCAACTGTAGGAATGTGCCCTCACTTGTTGAGTCTCCTAGAATAATCAATGTAATCTTATCTTGTGAGACTTTATTGAGTCAAAAATTTTTTTACCAGTTAACTATATTAAAATAAATATATTTATTTATCATTCTGTTTAAATAGTCATTCTCAGTCGTCCAATTCGTTTTCCACGTTCTATTTCTGTTCGTGCAACCAGCATACTTAATGCATTTCTCCAAAAGGTTTGTCAATCCATTTCTTATGATTATTACTATTGACTGTTTATCAATAGGAAGACTGCAATTTTCTATTTTATCAGTTTGCATAATATTGTTAGTTAATTTAAATGTTGTTTATTAATTACAAAAGATTCATCTCCAAATTTTATCCAATAGAAAAATCACACTCTTATCACTTTCTATATTCATACAATAAATGTTGAAATTACATCTTTTGTTTTTCCAAGGTTATTATACTTCAACTCTAGGTAGCGAATCTAAATTAAAACATTTAACTCTGCCAAAATTTGTATGACGTATCTACTAACTTAATTACTATACTGTTAATTCAATCACACACTTATTCTTTTACAATATTTTGTGAAATTAATTTCATCACTCATAAATGTAGACATATGTACTTCGTTTTAGTTTTAATTCACGCCATTATCCATTTGTTTAGTGATACTAAAATAAATACACATGTATTTAGGCATGATTGTATTTTATTCCCCCATTCAGTTGGTCAACCTTACACAGTACTATTCAGTCTGTCAGTAAAATTATTGACTTTTTTGTTAAATAATTTAAAAACTACGATCTCAATCGAAGTGTTCATTAGTTTAGATTACATTATATTGTGACTTCAATCAGGTAATGTTTTAGCATTATATCCATCGACATCTGTCATTTGGAGTTCAGTCGTTGAGTCGGAATGAACTTACAAATTGTATATCCAAAGATTTACAATGTGACAATATACAGTTTCAAATTTGTTTAGTCCGGTAACGTGGCATCAGTGCTTGAAGTCACTAACTTCTAGTTTGAGCCATGTTGGTAAATGCAGACTACTTGGTTGGGGTCCGCGTGACTATCGTAACGAATGGTTGGAGACTCTTAGTGACATGGCTCAGAATCGATCACAATGGTGTTGGTGTATACACTCTCTATCTTCCCTTAAACTAAGAAATTAAAATTGCTTCATATCTTTCTTTCTACCAACTAATTCTTTCTTGCTGTACTATAGCCTTATTGCAATCTTTCTTTTATATAGTACCAACTCTGAATTAGCTACTTCTATGAATCCGGTGTCCATCTTGTTGTATTAGTGAGGTATGGCAACTTGGACCGATGCATAAATGTGCCTGGTCCTACACTGTAGCTGACTGACTGACTGTAACTATTATTGCTAGTAAGAAACGTTACATTATCGAAGCATTTTTTTCGATAAAGTTCAGTCGGTCAGAAAACCACAATAAAAAACTTGACACCAGTTCGAGTTCCCCTATCCCATCAACACAGCGAGATGAAATCGTCGAAACAAATATTAGTTTAGTAGAGGTATTAACAGTATTAACGGTTATAGAAAACATTAGGCATCGGAGATACTATTTTAGAAAAAAATGTAAATTAGTAAAGCAGTAAAAGAACTTATGGAGAATCTAGAAACTTAGGATTTAAGGGGAGGCATTCTAGAAAGTTAAATAAAATTTATATTTTCAGCGTACGATAAAGCATTATACTCAAGAAAATCTACGTTCAATATTTCTTCATGCATTTGTCTTACAGTTTTTTCTAAATCATAGTCTAGTAAATTGAAAGCATTGTGTGATCAGTGAATATGCACTTATCACATGTACTTAATTAAATCAGTTAGTCGTACAAAATAGTTTTCGTTTTTCCCTAAATTTTCATCAATGCAATATTTTAACTAAATCTCAGGTGCCAACTGAACGCCTTGGATGTGCGCCAAATTCAAGTTTTGGTGATATTATGGAGCATGGATTTTTCAAACCAATCGATTGGGTAGCTTTAGAAAGGAAAGAAGTTCATCCTCCTTATCGTCCAACATGTGGAGGCGATAGAGACCTGATACATTTCGATCCTGCATTCACCGATGAACCTGTAGTGCTAACACCAGATAACGAGTAAGTGTCCAATATTTTATAAATGTTTACATATTTTTGCAAGCATCTGTCTTATTTTTCATCTTTTTTCGCTAAAAACATTAGTATACCATAATATCACAAGAAAGTCCAATATCAGACCTCTTCCTATTTTAATCAATATTGCCAAAAAAATTTGGACTATGATAATAATGAGTTTCAACTAAACTTGAACCATTAGATTCTAACTTAGACGTTTATAGTTTTCATTGTTTATAAGGCTTAAATGTCTTGAATTTGCTCGCTGACAGGATTGCGGGCACATACTTGTGAAGTTTGATACTGAAGCATAATATCTACTTTCCACTCCTTTTTTTCAACGTTTCTTCAATCGATATCTATCGGTAAATCTCCATAATCTATTTAACTAAATAATTTAATAATGTAAATGTATAATGAATTACTTGACATCTATCATAATATGAGACGTTATGACAAGCGAGTACTCTACTACTAATTTTTCCGTGTGTCAAAAAGTCATGGTATTACATTTTGTATGATTATATATATATATATAGCAATAATAATAAAATTAACCTTATTAATGATGAATAATATAATTTATAACTAAATGAATGATCAATTTTACACCGTCATTGAAAATCAGGAAGCATTGCACGTTCGTTTCGACCTAGTGTGAAACTCCTCAGTAGTGCACATCCACGACCCCGAGTGGTTCGGGAATCGAACTCAGGGCGTACAGTCTTGCGTGCAAACGCTTAACCCGTTGACCATTAATCTGGCATTCAACGGGATCAATGTCTAAGTTCAACCAACCCTCAACATTACACATCCATCTTCCAATGTCTTCAATAAGTAACTATCTCACAGCCAACAAGGTTGAACTCCACTGGTCGCGACTTACTAAAGTCAATATAAAATGGTCGTGCAATACGGTGGATTGTTTGAAGTTTTACATTGACATCGTTGGGTGCCGGCCTAGTGGTCAGTCAGTCAGTCCGTAACAACGTAGAACTTCGTACGTACGTACATCAGTTCGAGTTGCCACACCACATTAGCACAGAGATGCAGTGGTCGATTCAAATCCCGCCCTAGTGGTGTAGAGGTTAAGCCTTCGCTCAAGAGACCGAAGTCCTGGGTTCGATTCCAGGTTGGGGATCGTAGATACACACTACTGGGGAGTCTTACTAGAACAAAACAGCCATTCAATGCTTTCAGGTTTTCTATGGCGATGTAACATTGATCGGTTAATTAAAATTGCAACTCAGCAATCTCTGTAAACGTTTACTGATAAATGAATGATATTTTATCTGTTGACAATAAATAGTGAGTTTAGAATTTAAAACTATCACTTAAATTCAATAATAATTTCTTTATATGTGTGTACACGTGGAACTATTAAGATTTAACTAATCATTCGATCCGCATATATCTTCCGTAATTTTTAATCAATGCTAACTTAATGTATCCCGTTCATATTCTTGGTTAACGAACTCGCATTCTGTGTATAAGTTTAACTGTAATATAGAAAGTTGTATGAGAATACACTGGTCTTTGTCATTTAAAATAAAGTCAGGAGTATTTATACGTAAGTATTCTGATGAAATATCCAATATATATAATGGAATTTTCAGCCTACTGCGTCATTTCTAACGATCGTCAGTAAGAAATTTCAGTTTTCTTTATCAATATAATTTTCTAAATAAAAAATCTCTCAACGTAATCTGTTCATCGGTTTACTTTGATTTAATCGTTTACAATACTATTCACCTTAAGTTTTGTTAAATTTTACCCTTTAGAAACATTACAAACTGATATTACTGAAGTGGTTTACGTATTTTTCAGTTTTTATTTATTTATTTGTAGATATGACGTAATAGGGATTTTAGTAATTAGATGAATTATCACGTTAATGAAAGCGCATATTATTTGTATTTAAAAGTGAAAAAATAACGTGAATTGAAATGTATTCGTTTTCTGTTCAACTTTCAAGTGTTGTTTTTGTTTCATATTACTTTTTAAATTATCTTCATAAATTTTAAATTACTATTTTATTTTAAAATAATATATCATCAAATAAGAATATAATCAGTCAAGAGTAACGAGGAACTTGTATGCATCAGATCAAATTGTCACAACTCTATCAGGATGACATTAACAGAATAAATCCCAGGGTAGTAAAAATAGTATCAATGTTGGTAGTAGAACACATTATTTATAGAAATCATAATTTGGGAAACGATGAATGCTCTAAATAAAATGTATGAGTATTTTAAGACCTAAAATGAATAAATATGCAACATTGAAACCGATTTTGAGCTATGTCATCAGGTAATTCAAACCTACTTACACCAAACAGTTCACCATCCAATAACTTCATGGACTGGATATTACATCTTGTTTTGGTCGTCCCTAACTTTCGTCCAACTGACTTATAGTACAGCAAACGTCACAGGTTGAGTTATGTTGTATTTGCAAATTGAATCGATATTTTTTATCTAGACTTTATCTCTCGACGTTAAATGTATTTTTAGTAGCTATATTAATTTGCTTCGAATTGAAATAATAATAACAATCCATAAGGAATGGTTTTCCAGTGACCTTCATTCAAATTTATGCACACTAACTGTCGAAGTTATATCTGTTGTGAAAAGGAAATAATTTCTCTTTATATGTCACTGTCTTTATAAATGAACTAGAGTTTGAACTCATTGACAAGTGTTAGTTGAACTGAACCGACAATCCGATTATTTAGACTAATGTGAGATTTGTAAATGTTAAATAACTACAAGGCAAGGTCATTGGTTTACAACTCTATTTCGTTTAACTCCAGATATAATCTAGGTTACAATATATTAGACAGTTTAATTAGTGTTCTATGTTTTTAACCATATTCTTATTACTATCACTATTTTCCGTACAGTTTTATTTTACAAATTCCATTGATTTGAAAAGTGTATGATCGTGCATACCTGGAACTTTTGTGCACATTCTATAATTCATTACATATATTCGTTTATATTCACTTTAATTATGAAAACATTACGGAACAAGGTGTATATGTGAAGTAATATTGTGCGACAAATGCCTCCCGTTTTTTGAGAGGCTTTCGTAAAAACCAAATGCAGTACATCTAAGACAACCATTAAAAACCTGGAATTAATAGATGGCTGCTTCGTCTTAATATGGGACTCAACAGTGAGCACCCGCAACTTCGAATCGAAACCAAAACCTTCGTTCTCTAGCGCGAACGCTTGACCCCTGGACTAATGTGTAGGAATACGATGGTTTACAAGTTTAACTTCAATCAACCCACGATTTTGCGCAACCGTCTACAGTAAGAACGTTCCTCACACCCAGTACAGTTAGGTTCCGATGGTGACAGCTCATTAAAATTCCGAAAATTTCCTCGAAGTCAGTTATTAGTGAGTGCATGATGGCTTTCAGTGTGAGGTTGTGGCAATCGTTGAATTTCATTGAAATCACCGACCAGTCTACACGAGAAAACTCAGATAACATTTGGAATTGCATATTTAACAATGAAATAGAAAAGCGATATTTTTCGGTCGGATTAATCATTACTAAAGTCCTCAGAAGTCATGTAAGTGAATAGTATTAAAAACTAAGTGTATACATCATTTAAACTCACTTTCATAAGTTAACAATTTTAGAACATACCAAGTTGTATCGTTAAACTTCTCATAATATCTGATGAAATGTTAGCACGGATTAAAAACCCAGTTGACGTTTTCTAAATTGCGTTACTTGTGTCAGGTAGAATACCTGATTGATGTTTTCGGGATCATAGTAACCAGTGATAAAGACTTTGTGTTACATAATTCGTAATGGTTCCTAATGCTGAAGCTGCATTAACTACTGCTACCACTACTAATAAAAAAATTAATGGTTCTGACGTTTAAGAAAACCCTGATGTACCTTTCAAAGTTTTCATTGTAATTTTCAGTGCGTTCATTATTGCAATCCCTATTTTTCTTACGGAAATAAAAAAAAGTTGATTTTCCAATATTTTCATTTCACAACAGGGCAGTGATGTCACGTATGGATCAAACAGAATTCGATGGTTTCGAATATGTGAATCCTTTGCTCATGTCGTTAGATGAACAAGTGTAAGAGGAATCCTCATTCTCTCCTCAACCCCCCTCCCTTCCTCAATGGCTCGTTGTGTTAATCTATCTACCTTCCTTTTTTTTTAAAAAAAAACAATCACTTTTATTCAATACTATCACCATATCTATTGACAAATAAATAAATAGTATTTTGTATTGAATTTTTTTTAATAAAAAATAATAATTTATCGTATACATTCCATATTCATTCTATTAGCAAAATAAAAATTGTTTAAATCATTTACCAACAATTCAATGTTAAATTAATTTAAAAACATATCAAATGTTAAAATATTTTCACTTTTTTTGATTTTAGGGTATAATTCTTGAAATATTTTCTTTTTATATAAGAAAAAAAAACTATTGCTTACTTCGAAGTTTATATTATTTTCAGCACACAAGCACACACACACGTACATATATATATATATTTTAGGAAAATTCATTTTGTTTGTTTATTATCAAACAAGCTTCCTTTATTGCTTCATGTTCTTTATTAATGGACAAATGTGTTTAATTCTTTTTTTTCTCGCTCAATTAATTCTGATAAAAATAAATGCTGACTGTATTTCTATTTTTTCTTTTTCTAAGTTGTTTTTTTTAAAAAAAAATTTATCAATGTTTACTTTTTTTTCTCTAATTTTATAATTATGAAATGAGTTTAAAGTAAATTATCATGAAATGTTCATTGTAAGTACTGATAAGTAGTATCAATATGATAAAATGAAATACTCTTAAATTTAATATTCAATGAAGACAACTTTTTGATCACTTCTAACTACTTACTGATTTATAAAATTATTCCGTGACATAAAACTAGATTGACCAGAATTTCTAAGTAAATAATTAATCAAATTTTTGCGCTAAATTTCTCCGAACTAAGGTTTTTATTTTTGAGAAAACACGAGAATTTATTAACTATATCAGTGTTCAGTTACATATTCTGAAATTGACTTATCAAAATAATACTTCATCGCTTTCGCTGTTAAAAAACTTACCAAATGACACATTTTAAAGATTATTTTACAAAACCAGTTCATACCAATATTAGATATTCACATAGAATTCAATTCTAATGGATAATTTGATTGACTAGTAAGTATTCACAAGGAACAAAATACTTTGTTGGCCAAATTTAAGAAACTTAATATTGAAAAAATTCCATTGGTTCATGGTCTAAATGCATCTAGCTAGAATTATAAAACAATTCAGTTACACTATTGTATTTTTTGTCCTTTGGTTAAGTGGTAATGTCAAAAAGACAACAGTGCATTTTTAACTTAATTTTTACTGTTCAACGGTAACTATTCTGAAAAAAAACGTTTTAAATTGATAACCTTAAATTAGTAAATAATCACTTTAGTTGGGAAAACGAAAGCCAATCGTTTATTGGCTAAGTCGACCACGTCATGGAAATTATTTTAAAATCTTCCCTAGTTGCTTTGACCTTAGATATGGGTTTCAGTAATTCTTTTATCGAAGAAAGTTTTTTTCACTCTTGAGTGTTGTTTGAAACAATTATTTCATTGTCTTTCAATTCTGTATAAATATTCTCTGCAGGATGTCTTTATAACTCCTATTGAAGCGTTAAAGTAAAGTAACTGAACAAGACATATCTTACCAATACTAGAAAGAAGGTTAATTCATCAAGATACAAAAAAATAAAGATCTGAGCAAATGTGAGAATTACAGAGGAATCATACTACTTTCAGTACTAAGGGAGGTTTTCGACAGAGTATCGCTGAACCGGTTAAAAGATTCAGTAGACGCCCAACTTCGAAATAAAAATGACCAGATTCCTTAAGGATCGGTCGTACACAGACCAAATCGCGATACTGAGGATCATCGTTGAACAATCAATTTAATGGGATTCGTCACTGAGAAAGCTCTTGATAGCATGGATAGAAGAACCTGCTTCTACACTGTGGTGTATCTGAGGAAATCGTCGACATTCCGATTGAAGAACGGTTTCAGACAACGCTACCTTCTCTCCCCCTTCCTCTTTCTTCTGGCGGTCGACTGGATTATGAAGACCTCAACATCTGAGGGGAAGCACGAAATACAATGAACAGACTGGATGCAGCTAGACGATTCGGACGTCGCAGATGACTTGGCTCTCCTATCCCATGCACATGAACAAATACAGGTCAGCACAAACAGTGTAGCAGCAGCCTCTGTATTAGTAGGCCTCAACATACACAAGGGAAAAGTGAGATCCTCAAATACAACACGGAGAATACCAAACCAATCACACTTGATGAAGAAGCTTTGGAAGAGGTGGAAATATCCACGTACCTACCTGGTCGGCAACATCGATGAACAAGGAGGATCCGATTTAGACGTAAAAGTGAGGGCGCATTATTACAGTTGAACAATATATGGAACTCAAAACAACTGTCAACTAACATCAAAGTCACAATCCTCAATACGAACTTCAAGACAGTTCTACTGAATGGAGCTGAAACTTGGAGAACTACCACAACTATCATCAAAAGAGTACAAGTATTAATAAACAACTGTCTACGCAAGATATTGAATGTTTGTTGACTGGATATCATCAGCAAAAACCAACTGTAGGAGAGGATAAACCAGATTCCAACTGAGGGAGAAATTAGGAAAAGATGTTGAAAGTGTATAGTTTATGCATTGTGGAAATGATTAAACTGCTTTACGAAGCAAGGGCTAACTTGGGATCGTGGAGGTAAACGGAAGACCAAGGAACATACTGATCCAGGAATCGGAAGCAGACATAAATGGGATGAATAGCGACTGGATAGGATTACCCAGGACAGATGGAGAATGTGTGTGACTTATGCTCCTCCGCGGCGGTTAACAGGCATAAGTGAGCGAAGCTCTGAGGTTCAAGGAATGATTGCGTACAATTGCGTGAGTTTACACTATTGACGTACCGTGAAAGTAAATGGAAATTGTGGTTCAGTATAGCTTGCTTTTTATTAGACATCCAACCGATGAGTCAGCAATGAGAGATCGTATCAGTTAGTATTATTGGAAGCCTACGTTATATATACTTTGTTTTGAACAGATGATTTACCGTCATTTTCCTAGTTATTCTATCATTTGTGTGTGGTATTGTGCGTATTTATCCATCTCTGCTTATAAATGTCGAGTCAATTTTTAGTTAGATTGAGTAGGATGAGAAGCCTTTTTTCAGGCTGCATCTCTTGTTGTCTGTCCGAATAAATGAATCCCCTGAGTAAATTCTTTCGATTCGTCCTTGGCTTTTGTTACCACTTCTAAGAAGTCGGGGTTGGCCTAAATATAATATACTATTCCGAATTAAACGAAGAATTTGTTTCATGATTGATTCACCTTGTGTATTGGAGTCATCACATTGCCACCGATAGTTGACTTGAAATAAACAAGCATTCAAAAACGGGTTGACAGTTTGGTATGTCCCATGAAGAATGAGTTGACGACCTGGTTATATTACACTGGCTGGATCCATAGTATTATTTCCTTAGTCATTAGAGTGCACTAAGTTAAATGGATTAGTATCCGCTGAAATGTGTTTGTATGAAATAATGATTGTTTTGTACTTGATTCCTGATTGATTTCGAATTTTAAATACAATATTTTTGTTTGTGCTCACATAGTTTTATTTAGCTTAAATCGCACTGTTTCAAGAATTCCTAGTTAATACAATAATTTGAATACTTCTAATTATCATATGAATGTAAATTTTAATATCTATCAACTATATTAATGTTTGTCATGTAAAAGAAACCAATGCTTATATTTGAAATACATTTCTTCAATAAATTGTCCATTAAAATAAACAATTTTTTTAATGAATGTTATACTCTTCAATATGTTTACCTGATTGAAATTGTCTAATCAGAATTATAATAAAATTAGCACAAGGGAAATGCTTGTCGAAAACACTGAACTGTGTTATAAAGTTTACGAAGAACTCATATTCCAGTGGTCTGAAGGTTGTTCTTAGTTATCTTTTCAGACTAAACATAAAGTCAATGTTTTTATCTAACTCAAGTAAAAAATTGGTAAGACTAAATAGAATTTTCACTTAATTGTTGACTTTATTGAGATAATATTTTAATTATTAGTAGTCCGAAATTGATGTGATAGTGTTTGCTCTGTTTTCAATGAATCGAATTCTTCATTCATGTAAGTTGGAATTTTCCTTACGACTTAAACCTATCACTTCAAATAGTAACTGAGTATTATCTTCGAGCTATCGAATTACATATTTCGTAATAAATATAAATTATCTTTAATTACGTATTACTTTCCGGATACTATCTTTATTTGTATCAGATTTTTGTGTGCATAGTTTTCTTTCACCATATAATTTATTGCAATAGCACATCAATTAATGTTAGCTAATAATAAATTTCATTGGACACTTTTCTTCACAAATAATGATATTCAGTTGTGCATAAATCTTATTCAATGAGTGCGTTTTCAGTTAGATAAAATTAAATGTTCCAAATTTTTATGAAATAACCACAAAAATAGTTAACCTCTTCAAATCAGTAAACATTTAATCTCTATTCACACTAGTGTAAGTTATTAATGTTTAACCTTTCTCCAATTTACCCTTCTATTTCTTAACATAAATTCTTTTATTTGAAAAATTGTCTAAAAAAACCAAACAGTTTAATGTTACGTTACTCAAGACAGCGTTTGAATTAAAGCTTAAATCATATTACAACATTGTAAAATGAATCAATTAACTTTTTGGTGGATTTTTGTTCTCTGAGCTGGATGGTTTGGCCGTAGAGCTTTCATCGCTATTCTGAACGACATCATCAGCAGAAATTACAGGTAGAAGTGAAGTGTTCGAATTTCTCCACATATGACTCATAGCTTGTCCTGCAGACCTCAATGTTGATTGGTTAATGTTGAGCTTTAACCTGTCATTGTATACTTTATTTTGATTGTATCTCCCACTGATTTAGTTTTTGATCCTATATATATGGAATGAACACTTTAGATGATGTATTTTAGGATCAAAAGAAATAGTTCTCCCATACTAAAATCATATTTGAGGAATGAAAATTATTAAATTAAAAACCAAGCGTTCAGCTATTTTAACTTTTTTTAATGCCTGCCTTTTTATTTATTTATTTGAACAAATAAATATTGGCATAAGAAGGCGTCCTAATACATATGCGCCACACGATAACAGTGAGATTGTAAAAAGATGGAAAATGTAAAATACGTATAATAAAAAGAACAACGAACAGAAATTAATTAATGAGAATGGAATAATAATCATAATAGTAATAATAGGTGAAACAGTTCAGTTACCAAATACAACCAGAATGAGTCCCTTCAGCCAAGGAAGGTTCATTCATCTTTATGAAGTTATAAAATAATTGCTGCTGGCTTCCACTCTGAGCAATATCCGATAACGTTTCTAGTCACTGTCGCACCATCTCTAGGACCCCAACCAATGAGTCGTGCAGGACCAACAGAAGCCAGCCCAGTACAGTTTACTTTCATACCATGTCATACACTGACCACCTCCCCACTTTCCCCAACCAGCCCCAGCGTCGGCGAATAATCCACAAATTGTAATTCTCTGGGACGAAACTCGTAGGGCTTGTTCAACCTACCGAAGTCGATATTTGAAGATGGTGACACCAGTTGAATTGTCATCTTTGTTCCCGAATACGAGATGCTGAACCTCTGCATTACTAACATGGTGTTGCCATTAGATGTCAGCAATCCTTAGGAGACAACGATGGTCAAACACAGAGTCCTCTAACATCCTCAATTCAGAGAGGTCAGGTTTCACAAGCACAGGACAGAACTGCTCTCCCCGTGCTGTAGATCCGACCTTTCGCAACCAGACTAACATCACGAAGGCGCCAAAGATGGCCCAGATTGGTGCAAGGCGCTGTGGACTTCACTATACGTGAACTGATCTCATCACTCACGCCACTACCAGCTATTACGCAGCTACCCAGATACACGATCTTCTCGTCTATGTTAACTACTAATTACCGAAATTGAGTACAGGTATGGACCTTTACCAGTCTTGTAAAATTGATTTTCTTACATGTTTTAAAGCCTTTATCAAGAGAATCGCACTAATTGCTTCCGCATGTTAGAGCTATTGAGTTAAACGGAAAAACAGGTATATTTGTGGGCGAAATAATGTTGAGGCTTATAACTTTTTAGCTAGAACTTGATATTTCTTATTTGAAACTAAGTCACGCATGCAAGATTTGAAATCGGTACTTGATGTAGAGTAGTCTCAACCAACAGCTTTGAGTTACTCAAAGCACATAAAACCTGGTACAGAGGGGCAGCCAAGAAAATAGAACGCGCTGTTCGAAATACAGAGACAACAGTATGAAGAAGAAGGAATATATTCAAAGGAAAGAAATAAATGTGACCAATAGTAGTATATAATAGACGGCGTAGTTAAGCTAACAAAACACCAAATATTTCTTCCAGTTAAAGAAACCTTATTTTTATGACGAACAGGGAAAAGAAAACTGACCAACTCGGATTTTCCCACCCAATATCAATAATTACTGCAAAATGTGATATCTACTAGGGTAACATTCGTGATATGGTGCCAATTCACTACGGCTGGCGTCTCAAGATGGTGACATCAAGTGAGTTATCGTTACGGTCTGAACACGTTATCAAACCTAAGTAATCAACATCAAGTTTTCTTCAAAGCCGTTTACCCTCTGCATCCATATTTAACTTCGTCATAGATATTCTTTTGAAGATAACGGTCTCATTGTCTAACTTTTCAGGGACTGGCTGCTTATCAGGAAATCTACTTGTTGACTTGAAATATACAGATGAGACAATCCTGTTTAGTGAATTTTGCTCCATTTTACTTTATAGGTGTAGCCATTAAGGAAAGAGGATATTTATAGATTACTATTATCCCATCATAAGTGTCTTCGAACAATTGCTTGTGTATTTTTTATGAGCGATGTCGAAGTTAGGCATAACGTACTAAATAATGTTGAATTACGTATGTCCAACCACCACTTACCTCGACGAATATTGCCTGATGTAAGAGTTGATCGGAAGAAAGCTAAGGAAAGCCAAACTACGATGTGGCACCAGCCTATAAGGAAACTGGCAACTGGACTGAGCCATGTACAACGGTGTAGACTACCTGATTGGAGTCTGCATGATTATCGTAACCAAAGGTTCAAGATTCTAATTGACATATCTTAAAGTTGCTTGCAGTGACACAATTATATTCACTCTTTGCATTAATTTAGAACCTGAGTGTCGGAATCCTCGTATACAGTTTCTCTACTACTACTACTGTTACTTCTGCCACTCTAGTGTTTGTCTTGATAATTTAATCTCGCTGTGCTAATTTGGTATGGCAACTTGAGCCAGTGCATGTGTTGGGTTCTACGTTGCAAGCGAATGATTAAAGCTACATTCTTGAATTGAAGCCCTAAGAGAACCCTATTAGGATCTAACACACGATTAAAGTTATAGAATAAAAGTGTGGAAGATATTCACATGATCTTCAACCAGAAGCATTACATGTTTTGATACCCACTAAGGTAACCTAGATTTTCACACAAAAATAGGTTTTCGCTTTTTTTCATCAAACTGTGTAATATTCGAAAGAGAACGGTAGACGAAAGTACTCCAATTATAAACTATTTATTAACTAGTATGCTGAGAATAAAAATAAAATGACATGTTTATGGTATACGGATTAATTTGTAGAAAAATGAACGAATAGTAATAAACAGCTCTCGAAATAGTTGGCGCAATTGTTAGAAAACCAAAGAAAGCCAGGCGAACACAAGAGTCATGCCACCAATAGGTGCTATTCTAGAAAATCGATCATCTCCAGTTAGAGCCACATAATAGCATGAACCAGAGAACAGTAGAGTTCCAGTGGCGAAAAGAGTAGCAGACTGTAATAGATTAGTTCAAATTCATTGAAGTCAGGGATTTACCAAAACAGGACGTCTGAATAAAGGCGTGGTTAACAAAGCCACCGAATGAACCAAATGATAATAGGCCCCAGTTTTGAAAATTTGTCTTTGTTTATCTTGTTCATCTCTGAAACCTAAAAGTTAAAACTTTGGAGTAAGTAAATCTAATTTTTTACCATGAGCACCATAAGCGCTCGCAATAACAGCCAATGCCCCAGAGAATCCAGCTAGTCGTACCAACATTGAGTCCCAACAAAATGACGGTTTAATTTCAATCACAGGACTAGATTGACCAGTTGTACTACGACCCATGAGGTTTAATATCCCATTAACGTAAGGCAGGTGTACCATCTACAAAAAGTGGTACTAAATATACAGTAGTATTTCATAAAAGATTATTATTTACAGGAGAAAACGATCAAAATTATTGAACTGATAGTTCTGAGTTAAATACAAAATAACCAGGTGTATTCGAACATAGGCCCATCAGTATATTCATGAGGCAATTGAAGATGAACAAGATTAAAAATTTTCAGAGAACCACGCATGCCATAGTAAATTATGGCTTGTCACAAAGTTCTGTCATACACGATATTTGTTCGGCACTTCGAGTCATGGATAGTACAGGACTTCGATAATCATCTCTTTTATTCCAAATAAAACAACGGGTAAATATATAGTCCTTGATTTCAACACAGGCCTTAAGATCGTTTAGCCTTCACAAACTTTCCGTTTCTTGACTTTTGGGAAATACCAAACGACTAAGCTATCCAAACTGTTACTTCTGTAGTTATTACATAAATACTTAATCATTTCTTAAAAACTGAAACTAACAACTGGGATCACTTTGGTAAGACTACTTCTAACCATTACACAGCCAACATCCCGGTTAACCTGACTAATCGTCTTTAAAGATTTTAAGTCATGCACCAGAAGTTTGCCTTATTTTCGGTTTGCCACAGCCATTCAGAATTTAGCAAAAGTTAAAGGAATTATGTCTTGTTAGGATTTTGGCTAGATAACAGACAATAGGGACGTAGCTGTCCGGAATTTGAATTGCTTTTTGTTACTGACGTCTCGACTACCAGCTTTGGAAAGTTCTTTGATCAGAAATAAAGGTTGAAAACTTGAGGCAGCTGATTGCAAAAACCTATCATAAATTTGTGGATTTGTTAAGAATGTCATCTTTTGTTCATTATTATCATACACTTTTATATCCTCCTAACCCACTTTATCAAATTATAAACTTTACTTTTTCCTTAAAAAATGTGGTAGTATATGATTTCTGTGTATAATTACCGTATTAGTACTTTACAAATATTCATTTTGAACCTAGAATGGCCGACTTGTGACATTCTGATGGAACGAATAAAGGTGATCGCAAGTATGCTTCGGCCGTTCAATCTTAGTGGGTGAAGTGGCAACGACAACTCAACGAACTGGGACTTCACCAGATTTGTCTCGAAACTGGAGACACTTGGGGTACTGTTGTGACTTTTTTTACCACAAAATCTTGGCACTTTTAAGATGGATCGCTTCCTCATTTACTATAATTAGTATGTATTTACGACTTTCTTTCTTAAATGTTCCTGGGCCATATTCTTTTTATTCCAACGGCATGTCTTGTGGTGACCTGATGCTAATGGATAATTTCATTTTAAGAGAAACTGTGAAAGATTACTGTTGGAGTGACAGCCAAAATTTTGAAAAAACTAAAAGGCCTAAAACAAATTGACAGACTTTTTTTGCATAAAAATAACTCACCAAGGGAACATTTACATATGAATTATTACCACAATATCTGTCGAACTGAATACTAGCCTCCAGAAATCAATAACGAGGTATCTTTGAAAACGAAGGACAGTAATGTAGCGACTTTGTTTACTTAATCCAGGTTATTTATGGGGATCTATAATAACTTTTGCTAGCATCGCTAGCCACGAAAATTAACGGTTAGCGCTAGAAGGTATTTAAATTTCCCTGGAATAGACCATGAACAACACAACCTTAGTGAATTGTCATTACACTACCGTTTCATTAGTCTACTAGTGTACTGCATTACTTGTTGAATCCCATTGAGTGCAATTGTCAATACATAAATGGAGGTTAAACGACGTCAAACACTAATAAAAGCCCACCCAAACTAGCGAGTGAGCTTATAACACTTCAGCAGCCTTATTCTGTAGGTAGAAAATCTAGTCGGCTTTGTAAAATTACTAGCTTATCAAATCACCGTTAGGCAATAGTGCAGTTAGCGAAGGTTTCGTATACCGTCAATAAGTTATATCCATTAGTATGTATTATTTCATGGAGTACCAATGAATAATAGAACGAAAACAAACAATAAGCACGAACGCAGTATCTTGCGTTTGATTTTATTATATTATGTTACGCATACAATAGAATAGGCGCTATAATATATTATGCACAATCCTGAAATCAAATAAACAATTAGTACATTCAAATAGTTGTAGACGAAACAAAAGACATTTTCGCTTAACGAGCCTCCTTATCTAGTAGTAATGGGTCACCGATGCTTCAAGGTAGAAACTTATGTATATTTGGCGATAAAAAAAATAAACATTAATAGATTGAAATTATGTACAAAATCCTTATGGATATGTCACGTTTTCTCGTGAAGAAGACCTGTAAAGTTGCTTAGACTATCTCATCTGACAACGAATTCTTGAACTTAAATAATTGTAAACAGTGAAAGATGTGCCCACAGCCTGTTCTGTTATGTTGTGTACCCACATTCTGGGTGTTACCCCGAAGATTATTGTTGGGACTGAGCCTAAGTATGTATTTAATAAGATACCTAGGGGTGTTTTAAATGCTATAAGTCATCAAAATATCAGCTCTGAGACTTATATACTCTAATGTGTAAACACTAAGTAATTTGAGGCTTTGTTCTTTTTGTTTGAATTAGCGTCCCCGAACAAACTTCGTGTCTCGTGTATTCACATCTTTTTGAGGTGAGTGAGGAAACGCTATTTTTCTACATTATAAATATGACCAAACGAATCTGTAAAAAACTTGATGGAAGGTCCTTTCAAACTGGTGAAAAATGATGTACAGATAAAAAATCCCCATAACTAATCGGTCTTTAAGTTTTCAACATTGACTCTGACCTCATTAGTTTTAATGGAAATTCGGTTACGCGTTCATACAAAATCACGAGTGGATACGTCACGTTACATATCCCTTGCAACTGCTAGCCAGTCTAGATTAAATGCTCTCCGATAAATCGATAACCTTCCAAATACACATTCGAACCACATCATTTTTTGACTTTTAATTCGAATGGGTCGGTATATTCGACTATGAAGATGTTACGTGTAGATACGTTGTCAAACTTCAAATACCTGCGCTTTTTTGAGATCTTGAGTCTGAAATTGAATAACCTACTTTCTTCCCTCCGCATTTAGAATGGTCAAATATGCTTTTATACCATTTTCTCAAAAGGATATTGAGCAACTAATTTACTCAGAAAATCAAAGAGGATAAGATGAATTGTCTATCCGAAAATTTTACTTTACAATGAATATTGTGTATCAGAATTCCTTGATAAAACAACGAATCCCAATCGACTTACCTTTGACAAACCTTTTGTCATGTTCATCTAAGCTTTGTTGAGTCTGGAACTCCTAAAATCAAAGATTCTGAGGTGTCTTAATCAACAACATCGCCTCCCGACTCAGATGACATCCGACAAAATGTTTTGAAGAGATGCGTGGATATACTTCTCATCCAACCTCCTACCCTCTTTAAGTGTTTCACTATAGTAACATTGAACCTTAACCACTCAATCCTCAAAGTTTAAGAGGAGACAACTGGGATAATACATATTCAACATTTAACTCAGAGAAAAACTAACGGCGGAGAAGGCTGGAACAATGAACTGAAATAATTCGAATTGATCGAATGCCATGGCTCGGCCTTGCAGGCGTGGCTATCATCGAATATTATTATGTACCATTTATTCATATTAAATATATTGTTCTATCTCCGGCCCTACTGCGTTCTTCATCATATATTGATGATTGTTACGACGCAATGAAGTGGTGTAGATAATAATGTGATTTCCGAGTCAGATCTTATAGATTAGGCTGTTACATCATGGCAAATATGCAACTTTACGATTATGCCTTATATTAGAACAGTACTAATAACAAAGTAGACCATAATTCTACATTGGTAAGCCTGACTAAAGAAACGCAACTTATTACTATTAGTCCTCATTTCCACTTTAACTTTCTCGATCGGTTTTTATTTATGTAAACCCATTATAATAATTGTCCTCTTATGCTCACATGTATTATCGTAATATTATACTGATTAGTACTCGTAACTTACAGGCTCAATCGATAGTAAAAACTGGTCATCTATATTAATTATTAGCTTTGATGGTTCGTTAACAAGCTTGATTAACATTTACATGCTTAAGCGAAATAAACTTGTTTAAACATCAAGCTCTAGCAAATATGATCCGTAAATAACGTAAACATGCATTGACTAGCAACATGAGCATGGACTAAATATTTATCTGGATTTAGCTCTTCACATTGTTTCTTCAATTAACATATCAATCTGTTTTAAATTATGGACTATCCTTTTCTTCCGACCACTGCCTGTTTGATTTCCAATTGCTGAATTCAATGGCCAGAAAGAGGATACAAATGCAGGAAATTTACGGTGAGTTTGAAGCAATCTTAGATCTGCAATCTTAGATCTCGTTTAGAGTGTCCGTCAGGCAACGCTACGCATTTGGCTTCAATTAATTTTGGACTTATACCGATTCAGTGTATAATACTGTATAATCCAACAGTTAATCGTATACGATCCAGACTCGAACTACTGTCTGCTTCAATTTTTCATTACTTGGATTCGAAAATATTCCGGGCGAGTTTTATTTTTTCCCTTACCATCATTTGCGCGTCGAAACGCAACCTTCATAAAACGCGCCAACTCTGATACTGGGTGAAACCGTCTACATTCATATCTTATAAAATATCAACCCAGCTGAGTAATTTACTACCGTAAAAATTGTATCATTTGTCGTAACATTATGATCTAGCCTGTCAACAGTCATGCCTCACGTAACAAACTGTTATTTGAGAATAAATCATATTATTATAAAGGTTCTAAAGAGAGGTCCTTATATCTATTTGTGTAATGGAGAGTGGAGTCACTTCTCAGCAGTTGGTGTGTGAAGCGTCGTTGAACATCTCCAAGTTTTATCTTGTCTGTGGTATTCATATTAGAAAGGATAAAAGCACAATATTTTAGAAGGTAAACTTAGCCTCTGTTGTGAAGAAATTTCTCATTATGAAAGCAATTAGCCGTCTAGATTTATAAATAATAGAGGAGGCATTGTCTTCGAAGCTCAGGCTTCCAGTGTAATTAATTCATAGTTCGTTTATTGAATTGAGTGTCTGGACTCTACTATTATTCAAGTAAAGTTCGAGTTCACAGGGATATTTTCCAAAGCCCATGATCCAGCACTTGTTGAGGTTAAGTGGTAATTGCTATTTTTCACTCCAGATAGTTAGGTTATTGAGGTCGTTTTGAATCGGCGATACACCTTCACTTGGAGGCTTAGGCTTATAGCTGTATACTATTTTGAGATCATCAGCATATATTTATTGTTTCTCAAATTGTATGATGTTACATAGATCGTTTATATACTTAAGAAACAAGAGTGGACCTAGCACGCTTTCCTGGATGACTACACTAGTTATTGGTCTACGTGATGAGAGATAGTCGTTGTACTTAAACATCTGTTTACGTTCTATTAAGAACGAAGCGAACCATCAGTATAGTTGGTTGTTTATTCCAAAGGAATTTAGTTTGACAGGAAGCCGTTTGTGTGGGACTGTATCAAAGGCTTTCTTTAATTCTAATAATAGGACTGACACAAGGAGTCCATTGTCTCGTTTTAGAGCTATGTCATTCAAGTAGTCTACCAGGCATGTATCGCATGATCTGGACCTCAGAAATACATGCTGGGAGGGCGAGATGAGGTTATTAGTAAGTAGATATTGGACTACAGCCAGCTTAACTACTTTTTCCATCACTGTAGACACAACCGAAGTTTTTTTATAGGCCGGCAATTTTCAACATTTGCTTCAAGTCCAGTTTTAATTTTGGGAATGATATGTGTAGCTTTCCAGGCAGTAGGGTAACACACTGTAGAGAGTGATATCGCAAAACAGTTTGAGAAGAGAAACACACATACCACCACCTCCATGTTTTAGCAAATGAGATGGAATACCATCTACTATTATTGCTCTAATTTCTTTTTAAATATGGCAAGTATAATGCCAACATTATTGAAAACTGTGTATTATGGCATTTTTTTCAAGAGACCCGAAATGGTTTCTTCACAACACTTATGTACCCATAAGATGTTTGTGAATAATAATAATAATCAGTGTAGAAATGTTTCAATGTACTAATTGCCTTAGAGGTATTTTGTATCTTGAAGTCTACGTTAGCAATACTACGGGGAGGTACTAGTATTGGTTCTGAGTCATTTAGTGGTTTTTCCCTAGTTAGCGATAAACAAAAGTGTTCACTAAATAATTCTGTGACAAGTTTAGGATTTTTGTATACTTGTTTGTCTTTAATGAATATGCTCCCTCTCGATATAGAACGTTGAAGTCTATTTTGGAGTACGATGGTGAGTGCAGAGGAATTATTACTAAGTTCGACAGCACACGTTTCCTATGCGACTGCTTTTTGTGTACGTATTGCTTCTGTTCGGACAAATATTTCTGCCATCGTTACCAAAGAGAAAAAGTCATAAGGTTTGTTGAATCGAGTACGATGTCTTTGAATAAGTCTTCGTGTACCGTCTGGCATATACAGATTTTTAGGGACCGTAGGTCTCCAGTATTCTAAAGGTGTAAATACCTCCGATAACACTGCTATTTTACCTACTGATGCGTTAGGTTGACGGAAGACACTGACAAACAGTAAGCTAACGGAATTCCATGGATTTCATACAATCCAATACGAATCCTTCAGTTTGTTTGATTCAGGCATTTCGTTGGCCCTGTGAAATGAATTTAGGTTCATTTGAGTCGACTTGTGAAGTATCTTAAGGAGGACTAATTTCCAAGTGTGTAGGTTTAGTTGGAAGTGTGTTGTCAATCAGCCCACATTTTGTTATTTTAGTGAATGGACAGCCAGAATTAGACACGTCGTTACGCTTTTTGGTGACAATTGGGAACCGTTTCTAATCCAAAGGTTTCTGATCAGCTGGGTCATCTAGATCTATAGAGTGACCAGCCGTTTGTGGAGTGGTGTCATGCTTATTTTTCGCATGCTTTAATCTACTTACTGTGTTGCAAACTGTCTCTAGCTGGTTATTTACTGTAACATTACCATGCAACCCTGTCACTTCACGTCTTCTTACACAACGTCGACAGG